TGTCCAGTTGTGTACTTACATTTTTACTTTTCTATATACAGTGAATGTTGTTGTCTGAGGCATGGCTACATGAGGGCAGTGCTGTGAGCTAAGACAGAGTGTGGGCTTGAAAATCTCTTCAGTTCTTTGGTAAATGCCTGCTACCCCTTCCTCCTTCCTGTATTTGTTGTGGGACAGCATTGTGAACAGCCAGGAAAAGCAGATGAAGTTGATGTGCCCCAGCACTATGGTTTAGCTTTGCAGCTCATTTTCTATAACCATACTGTAATCTTTCCTGCTTACGGAGGAGGCGCCCTGTGCAGCAGGCAGGTGCCACTGAGAGGCTGAGCAGATATTCTCGACCACATCAATTTAGTACTTAGGAGAGCACAATATTGTATTAGTTTATTTTTCACTCTGTATGATCATGATTTGGGACTCACACTTTTTAAAACACCGGTGACAGACAGTACTCTTACAAAATACTCTGAGGGAAGTGAGAGCTCATATCTATAGCAAAGCAGCAATGCCTGGGGACTCCAGACATTGCTTCCTGGCTTTACATTCATGACTGCTCATGAGATACCATGCTCAGTGCCAGTGATCATGTCCTTTGCAATGTCTCACAGGTTTGCTGGGGGAAGTGAAGAACCAGGTACTATGATTTTGGTGTTGTAAAACCTTTTTGATTTCTCAGAATAATTCTGTGTCTATTAATTCAGCTTGCGTAGGCGATTTACAAGTTTAAAGAGTGCTGCTGCCCTTATTTACCTTTGATTTTTTCCATTAGTGAGAAAATTGATGATAGCCAAGAATTTCTTTGACATAAGAAGTTTGGCAATTTCAGGCATGTTTGCCAATGTCTTTGTTTATAGAGCCAAGCCCAATGTTTTTTTCAAACATCAGTTTATCCCAAATCTGTGTGGTTTTATTGTAATTAATGATTTTTTGAATAGTGTATTTCTTTTCACTTCTGCATACTGTTTTTTCCATTCTCAGGCCTCTTAATTAACAGTCTCAAAAAAACTGCTTAATCCCTACCACCTGTGCTTTGGGCAGCTTCTATTATTTCACTATTCAGGCTCCAGGCAGAGCAGCAGCCATGCCTGTCATTGTTCTCTTGTCTCTTACCTCTGCCATAGCAATAGGCAGAGATTGCTAGTAGGAATGTTCATGAAAGCCTTTAAAATTGAATTATTCAGTGGGAAGATCACTGAACTTACAAAACCATTCACTGTCACTATCAATTAACTAATGAAAAGACTGGATGTTTTACCCTGGTTCTCAGGGAGTTTTAGGATGTTTATTCAATCCAGTCAGAAATGCTGGCCAATGTGTGAGAAAGCAACAGCATAGAGAAAGCTCATAAGACACATCTCAGGTAGTACCAACAGCAGGATTCACCTCCCATGGCCTGGCCCAAAGCATGGAATATGCACAAGTTACAAAGCAACAGCATGGGATTAACATAGACTTCTTGGCACTTGTGTGTAGGCATATTTGAGGCAAGGTGTGTAATGTTGACAGTGCAATTCAGTGTCCTGGATTGCAGAATGATCTCTGGGCAGCTGATACATCACTGGTGTATTGGCAGCTCAGATACAGTTGAGATGTTTTTGTAAAGTAGCACACACAGATTCAGTACTTACAAATTTTACAAGAGCATCTTTTGTTAGGACTAGATCAAAGACCAAAGATCACTGAGCAAGAGCTCAAAATTCATTATTACAATTCAAAGGCATTAGATAAAAGGTTCTGACAAAAGCAGTTGCCAGGATTCACTGAAGATAGAACTTGATGTACCCATCAATTAAAATCAGAGTGTGCCGGAACACATCCAGTAGATTTCTTGGTTCCCTCACACTTTTGCTTTACTTCTCTGGGTGATAGAACATAAGCATCTACACTTGATACGCTCTGACCCAAACATTAACAGGAGTAATAATGTTTCTGAAGAAGAAATAGGTAAGCAGAACTATTATTTTAGGATAAAAACCTAGCACACTGGTCTTTTTTGGATGCAACTATGAGAACACTATGACCAGACTTACACTTGGAGGAAAATCTGGAAAGGACCTCAAAGCTCATTTACGCCATCCTCTTGAGGTTCATGCCAGATTCAACTTGGCCTAGATTGTTCCAGGATATTTCATCTACACTGAAGAATCGTTGATGTTGAAGACCTCACATGGCCTCACCTCCCTTCCCAGGCATTCTCTTCTACCGGTCTCGCTGCTAGAAAGCTTTTCCTAATGTCCAGCCCCAAACTTTTGTGCTGCAGTTTTCTTTCTTGTCCTCCACACTTAAATTGCTCTTACCCTAAGGTTGGAAGGGAGATGGAAGAAATAAACGAGGTGATTTCAGGAGTAGGAAAGACACTTTTTGTGGGTGCAGCTTTTTCTGGCAAAGCTGAGTTTCTGCAGGTACCATTTTTGTATTTCTGAGAGACCAGAATGGTCACTTCCAGCTAAAAATGGCACAAATTGGCACAACTGTCCTTGCAAACCGCTGCCGGAAGAAATCTTACCTAAGTACACATTCAGGTAGTGTCAAGGGCTTGTATTTTTGCCTTTAAACAAACATTAATATGTATTTAATTTAAGTTCAGAGCTAATGTCCCATAAAAAGTAAGAGGGGAAGATACCTTATGCCTAGGTCCTTTCATTGGGCCAATGGCCCAGGGACTGCACTGAGCAGTAGAGTAAAAATTTCAAGCGAAAATGTGTTAAGAAGCTAAATATTGATAAAATGATAAAATGTGCATAACACCATGTCATGGGGAAGATACTTTGGACAGAGACACTGAGGCAGAACAAATTGGCTTCATGTATAAAATTCTCCAGAGGGTTTTCCTGGCCAGCCCCAGATCCATCAGGATTTGAAAGAACTGGAGTTATCTTTCCTGCTGTGAATGCCAAGTTTCCCTCTTCTCTTCAGTTCTGGCTGAAGGGATTTCTAGACAGCACTGATGAGGGGTGTGTAGTTACACATCGTAAGGACTTAGCAAGCAGTCTATTTTAACTCATGAGTCTCGTTACTGCAATTCTGTGGGTGGCAGATGCCTTTGTATCTGTGTCCACATCTGCTTGTTCTATATAACAGCACACAGTTTCAGAGAAAATGTTTATATTTCAAAGCAAGATGCTTATATTTCTCCTTCACTCTGCCCATTATATGTGGGCACAAACATTCCTTCTTCTGTGGGTTTTAAGAAGCACTTTATGTCTGGATATCTTTGTGTCCAGATAGCAAATAAAGAATGCCCTAAGGAATGTAGAGTGATGCCCATTACACTGATAGCAAGAACACATATTTGCCCTTCTCACACCAGCGTGAGCTGAACCATTAAAATATAACGATGCACATATACATCAATCTTGCGTTAGCTGCTAAGGTATAGTCATGTTTTCAAGTCTTCAGATTACGGTCTCACCTTGTGACTTTTGTGCTGCACTAGTCCGCATTTTCCTGCTCTATTTTTAAATGCTGGCAGACGTTTCTAAAGACATTTGTGTTTTTGAGAGCTCACCGGCTTTGATTATTCAACTGGGCCAGCCTTTGGGTTATGACTCGTATATTTCTGAAGCGATGTTGATGGAAAAATTCATGGACTTGCTTTTGTCTCCTCCCTAGAGCATACGCTATCACCATTGTAGAGATCTGGAAACTGACAGTTCAACATCTGGAACAAAGTCCCTACCAAATTCTATAAACAGTATTTAAACCAGAGAATTCAGGTGCACAGAGGCCATGAGAAGATTCTATTGATTTGTAAAGAGCACTGGTCTTATGCTCTGTTTTTAAGCATTTTGACACATCTTCAGCTGGTATAAGTGAGCATCATCAGTGAAAAACAGCTTTTTAAACATTCTTGAGAATTTGGCTATGTATCAGTTAAGCATTTAAGATAAAATAAAACAAAACAAACCAGGCATATTAGTTATGTTTGTCCTGGCATTGCATGTAATGGGTGTTTAACTATCCTAAGTATACTATAGATCAGATTATTTTACAGTTTGGGCATTTTCTTTTAGTGTTACAGTATTTTTTGATAAATTGAGGCTATCCTTTCCAGACAACACTGGCATTTAGGCATCACTGATGTCCATGACCCTTTCCTCAGTGGAAGATAGTCTTAGCTGAGACACCTCTCTATTTTAAGGGTCTAAAAATAACACATGGATGTTATCTGACTTCTTAAGAGACAAAAGTATTTGTTAAGAAACTAAAACCAGTACCTAGCAGCAATTCTAGAGCTTCCGTAACTTATTTCCAGCAGCTTTATTAGGATGAATTTGAGTGTTATTCAGTGCTTGATCTGACGGCCAGTTTTCCCAGCGTGTTTGAAAATTGCACCATGGAGTAGTATATTTCACAAGATCATTTTTATTTTATGCAATATTTTCAGGGACCCAATTCAGTTTGCACGTTGTTCATTTTTAACAGGTATTGGAGAAATGTGTGAGGAGTAACTGGGGCATCAGTACGCGTTGAACTCATCGGTGTGTTATAAGGTCACGTGAAAATAATTCCTCTTACAGAGTGAATCTAATAGCATCATTGCCTGTACCACATCTATTCCAGGATTTCTAAAGAATTCCCTGGTACTGTTATTTGTTATTGCCTGACAAGTACAGTCAGCATCAGGAAGGGCTATCTGTGCTGGTGGAGCCTGTTCTGGTAATTCATTGAAAGATAAGCATAACTACTGCTGGAGCATGCATAGAGTTTGTGGAACACCAGTTAACACATACTAGCAATGGGATGATTTACATCACTGTAGCTTGGTCAGGATGCTCTTCTAGCATTAGCTTGTCATCCTGGTGAAATTTGGCCACCTTGCTACCTGCTGATTGTAACTAACTGAAGAGTGAGACACAAGCATTCTGTTTCTACACTACTAAATAAGAGCAATAAAATGTCTTCTCCACAAACCAGTAATAAAATTAAAAGTAATAATTAAAAAAAAACCCTACCACACAAAATGCTAAAATGTTTTAATTTTTTATGTTTCTTTTTAGTCTTGGAACTGAACAAGGTGATTATTCCCACTTATGGAACTGTGCCGGATCAGCAAAACCTTCATACTCCTGAATGGGTGGGTACTTCTTTAACTATAACTATCTGTAATATTTTCTCATACAGATATGCAGCAGTCAGTAACTGTTCCAGAAAAATAGCATTCCTTTGCTTTAACATCACATGCAGTTCATCTGTGTGACTGAATCTGAGTTGCTGTATTTGTTTCCCTAATGGTACCTAAAGTCATTGATTCAGATGTGAAAGATCAGATTGACACAGGCACTGGACTCAATTAAAAGTGACCAATATATATTGACCATAAACTGATACACAAACACACACCCCCTTCCTCTCTATTTATAATTTTGTACATGCATGTATAGGATTTCTGTGTGTGTATATAAGGATAGTTATGAACACACCCTATGTATATGCACTGTAGATTAATGCATACCCAGGAATTAGTTGTCTAACCTGTGAGTTCAGGATTCATATCTACAGAAAGCTTAGAGACACCAAAAAATTCCTGACTTCAATCAGAGACTGAAAGGGGAAAGGAGAAAAAAGACCTGGAGTATCCATTCCCTTTACCCAAAGTTCAGGCTCCCCAGCTCACCTAATGTTTTCTGCAGCTAACAGGCTTCTGGCTCTAGCTCAAGATACCCTGCCTCAGATCTCACTTTATCTCTAAGGGATGGCCAGTTGACCCCAACAAGCCCTGCCATGGCTTTGCCAACCTGATGCCCAACTGGCATACTTTTTTCCCCTAGAATGGTACCGGTGTGGTCTGCAGTTGCACAAGGAGAGAGCTATAAGCCTGGATTAAAAAAGGTGTATATTTATCCTAAAGCTAAGGGAGCAACTCCATATAAATCAAAAAGCCTGTTCAATATTTCATTACTCTGACGATGGAGGTTAGTGTTGCTGGCTTTGACTGTGTGTCTTTTCTAGTCAAGCTACCTCTACAAGTGCATCAGTGTTACAGGAGAACAAGGTGTAAACAAAAAGGTTCAACAGTGTCAAGAATATCGCATTGGACCAATTAATTTGAGCACCTAAGATCCTCATGACTATTTTCACATAGAGAAATCATTCAGGAAAATACTGTAATGGTGCCACCAAGTAATGAGAGCTGGAGCTGGTTCCCAGTCAGCCAAAGCATTGACATTTAAACTCAGCTATTTACAAGTAACTGAAACTGTCTGTGCATCTCTGTTGCTGTCTACTAGACCCTATTAGGATCCCACTAGAGGATCTACTAGGTGCTCCTGGAATGCCAGCCTGCTACCACTGCTGCTGGTTATCACTTTAGCTTGCAAAGAGGAGGTCCCCTGAGACTGTGGAGGTCCAGGTCCTGCTGACTTCTCTGCCTATAAGAAAATACACTGTTTTCTTTGTATGACTGGGAGAACATATAATACAATGAATAATGAGCTAAATAGTTAAAAGATGTAAATCAAGTATTCAAATTCAGGGGTTTAATTAAGCTTGCCCTGTCTTTAATGTGGATATTATGATTGGAGCTGTTTAGATAATTTATTTTTCAGCCTGGCCACCCAACTGAACGCTATTTTTGATTCATATAAAATTGAACAGGAAAACAGACTCATAAAAGGAAGAGACAAAGGATTTCCATGTGGTAGTGCATTTTGAAAGCAGTGTAAACAGTGGGATTCAGTCTTTATTGCACTGAGATACCCCAGAGTCTTGGGGAGCTGCTCTAGCAGCTTTGTTGGCAAACTGCTTCTCACACTTATGTGTCAAGGAGGTTTGTTCCTGTTTCTGCTATAGGAAACAAATATCCAAAGTACCAGGAAATGAGTTTCTTTCTGGAGCCGGATACCCTCACCTCCCCTGCCACAGCGTTTTGCAGCGCGGTGGTTTTCGTTTGAAACTGCTTTGGTGTCTGGAAAAAAGTTAACCATTTTTTGGAACATGAGGTGGAACCAAGGGCTTCCATTTCCCAACTGACTGCCCTGACCAGGATGTTAAAAAAATCCTTCTTAGACTCTCTTTGTGATTCAATTAGTTTAATTTTTCTTATGTATTTCAATGAAGTGAAATGGCATCAAAACAGCTGCACTGTCATATACCTTGTGGTCAGGACAGTCTCCTCCAAGCAGTCTTGGCAGAATTTATTTCTACTGAAAATCAACTGTCAAAATCAAGTTTTATTTTTGGTTACTCATGTTTAGCATCAGCTGTAATTTCTGCTCGGTTTTAGCAGCATCTATTCTGCAGTGTTCCTTCCTCCTCAGGTCCTCTTTGTCAGCCACTGGGCAGTTTCAGTGGTTGGAGGGGCCAGAAAGATGAAATTGAGAATGAAACTGAGATCTACTGAGCCTGTGAAGTGGATGTAAATTGTAGCTAGAAATGGAAATGGACACTGAATAGGAAGCCTAACCTTAAACGATTGAATAAAAGGGAGGTACTGTGCCTGTTTAAACTTAGAATATGCTTTGCAGCTGGAACTTTGATTTGATTTTACAAGTTGTCCTGGAGTAGTCAAAACTGAGAAGGTTATTGGCTAATAAAACCAGTCCCACTCTTGTAGTGCTGTCTCTAAGAAGAGGAAAATATGCTAAGTTTGCAGCAAGATCCCTACCTCATTTAGCGTATGACTGGGATATTAGTCTCCAAAAGGCTCAGATTCTGTGAGGATGTTGTTTGCAGTATTTCAGTGAGCTGGAAATGTGGCAAGATGTTGCAGGGACAGAATGAAAGGCTCTTATGAATAGAGAAACTGAGTTTGGTCCTAAATAATTGGATTTTATCCCTGTTTCTGTTCTGAGGTTTCTGTGCCAGTCCTGCAAAATCACATCCATCTTTTTATTTCCTGCATGTCAGAAGGGAACGTCTGCGGCCCTGTTTGCATTAGTTCAAAATAGTCACATGCAGGCATGAAAATGAGTGTATTGCTCTTTGAACAGAGAGAATTGCTGAGCTCCCGGGAAAGATGTCACTGTCTTGGTGTCGCAAGCTGGAACTCCAAATTTAGCAGACAGTCAACAGGTTTTGGCATTGATCTCTAGATGCCTTACAACATGATCACTGTTAAAATGAGGGTTATATTGTTACTTTCTCTCCTGGGGGATCTTGTAAAATTAAATTTCTCAACATTTCTAGAACATTGAGATTCTATGAGGAGAGTACCACAGGCACAGTAAGAAGGAAATCCCCGTTTTAGGGGTTCAGGTTATTTAGATGAGGTGTAACAAGAAAAAAAAAGAAAGACATTGAATAAAGAAGATAATAAGGAATATTCCAGAACTACTACAAGGAGTATAGAAGTATGGCTTGTGGTTGTGCAATTAAGTCATGTATCATAAAGAACACATACAAGGAAGATAAAACTGCATAGACAGCATTAATTCAAGCCTTTCACAGCCCTCATGTTTCATTATACAGTCTTATCTACTTACAGGTAGATAGTTTGAATTTGGATGTAAATGTAAGGTTTCTTTTGAGAGTCAATATCTGCAGAGGGAAGGATAACTTCAAATTGTCTATTACTGCTGCCCCTCAAATATAATTTCTACAGCGAGAAGGCTTTTCAGGGAAGTCCGAAAGAGGGAATTTCCCAGCTTTCTCATCCCAAGAAAGAAGGGAGGTGCTGAAAAGCAGGTTTCCAACAGAATACTGTCTTCACCTTTCCTTAAAAGTAAGACCTTTTGTCTCTCTCTGATCAGGAGTGACTGGAATTCATCTGCAGCCAGCAGCGACCTGGCGCTCAGACAGGAAGTCAAGTGGGTGTCTGGTCCAAACTTAGCTCAGGGGACAAGGCATCCCGATGCCTGGCCGGTTACCAGCCGCTTTCTGCTGACAGAAATGTATGACTGTAATGATGCCCCGTATTTTTCTACTTCGCCTTTAGTCTCGGTTTGTTTCACTTTGTTACCTCGCAAAAATTTCTTTGCATGCTGAGGAAATGAAGGAAAGAAACCAACCCCACCTTCTTTTGATTAAGTGCTTGCTAATAACCTCATTGTTGCTTTTAGAACTAAACCAGTTCTCTGTTGGTATTAGCAAACATGAGTCACAAGGAAAAATGTTAAAGGCACAACAGTTTTATGGCCCCAGGGAGACAGACCAACATTAGTATGTGATACACAAATAAACTTGTATCATCCGGGTCTTCTACATATATCTTACATCTTCCAGAAGTAAATGCTTTGTGTTGGTCTTCATGTTAGAAAGGTGTCTCTATTGGTCACTCAGAACATAAAGTAATAAAAGATCTTGTTATATAGTTATGATAGCAAGAATATATTTCTGTAACACTTTCTTCAGTTGATCTCCAAGCACTTCACAAATAATTGTGTTTCATGATATCCTGGTAATATAATTTATTCCTTTTTATTTGCATGATTTGAAGTTTCCTGAGGCCTGTAGAGAGAAATAACTGTGCTCTTAAACAGACACTGCAATTTTCACCTACGTAAAACCCACAACTGAAGTATAACCTGCTGGTCCCCAGCAGGAGGATTTTTTGCAGGTGCCTGTCAGCAGAGGAGATGTTATACAGGCTCTGCTCCACTTTCTTGTTCTCCAGTACTGATTTATTCCCTGGCACGCTGCAGCAAGCTGTTTTGAAGCATATCTGAAAATTATGTGAGGTCGCAGACAAGTAGTTTATCCCTCCAGTAATGATTACATTTGGTGCTATTGACAGTCACACCAAAGGCTCATGCGGACAAAATAAATCACTTCTTTCCTCCTTCCAGTTAGAAAAGTCATTCCTGCAGAGTCTCTTGTTATTTAAAAGATATCAGCTTACAATGCTGTGCTTGTCCAGGGTGTAGTAAACAATAAATAACTGCAGTTCCTGTGCACATATTTTTCTTCTTGCCTTCCCCTGTGCTGCCCTTCCCACCATTATCCCTACTGAATATTTAACAGTATGATGCCCAGAGCAGTGTGGAAAAGTGCAGACAGGTTTCTTTGTAATGCCACCATTTTTCCTCCCCTGGCATGGAGCATCACTGTTACTGAAGGGAGCTCTCCGCTAGTGTGGTCTTCTTTCATCTGCTGCTGCAGGCATCACATGTAGCCATGACTACAGGAACAGTCTCAAGAGTAAGACATGGCAACTCCCCATAGATAAAACGCATGCAGAGGAGCACATGGTAGTGATTGATGTGATTGAATCAGTGCAGCACTTCCCAGCTCCAGCAGGATCCCACCAGCTGTGTGTACATCCATTGGTAGTGAGGACCCAAGCAGTGGGTCTGTAGAACAAGGCTTTTGGTGCTGAGGAGCTGGTGCCTGCATTATACACATTTCTGGGCTTTTTGTTACCACTGGCTACCTCCTGTCTCACTTCATGGAGTGAAGACCCACTTATGCTTACCTGGTCTGATCCTGCTCTGAACTAAACACCCACATGAACGTGGCCTCTCAGCTAGATCGCATAGGTGTAACCTAAGTGTTCCAAAAAGCTTTATCCATGGACAGGCTCCCCTTTCTTTCAGAATCTTTCTGTTAATAAAGCAGCTAATAGTTCCCTGTCTCTCAGTGATAGGCAAGAGGTTGATTGTACCGCACTTGGAAAGTTCAAAAGCACTGCGGAGTGCGTGCTAAATATAATTAGTATTTTCCAGCTAAATGTGTTACATTTTTTTTAATTTATTAATGATGTTAATCAGTATTAACCTGCTGTCCACTCGGGTATTATTATAACATCAGAACGCACAACCCACTGCCTCCATCAGTACTTAAAATGTGATTATGTTGAGGCTAAGAAAATTAGATAGTGCAGTAGATAGACCTCATGGTTTTTGCTTCCAAAACAAAGAGGTATCAATAGGCCTGTTCATTATTTTGGGTTATAATTTGCTACTGATGCTTAAGAAAAAATACATATTTGAATTTCAGCCCCATTAACTCATGTGCGTGCACACAAGCTTGTGTGCATTTGTATGATAATAACATTTGTAATACTGTCAAATAATATTACATATTTAAAAAAACACAAACATTGTCTCAGAGGAATTATTAACTTCAGAACACAGCACATCTTTTTGGCTTCCAGTCCTGTTTTTCCCCTGGTAATTATGTTGAATAATATATGATTTTTTATTGCAAACTCTGCAGTAGGGATTACAAGATACACCGCACATCTAAGTTAACGTGGCTGTCAGAACCTTAACTATTATATTCCCTTTTGAGTTTTACTTCTTATTTTTAATTGAGCAACATTTAATGTTGCATTAAAATTGATTTGTGCAGGTCTTAATCTTTCTCTTGTAAGTATTCAGATGTAATGAATCAATTTTTTATTATTTTATTGTTACATAAAGTGTCCATGGATAGGTCAATTGAGCAATGCCCTCTTGATTAAAAGAAATAGAGATCACATCACAGTATGAACTTCTGTGTGTCTGGATTCATGAAGTTCAATATTGATTAATCTTTCAGCTATATTCCATTATATATATGTACAGTTTTATATATATTTATATATACATATACACATAAATGAGTATGTATATCATAGCATGTACATGCTCATGTGAATGCAATCATGTATGTAAGTAAATTCATGAGTCCGAATACTGATCAACAGGCAGTCTTTCTCTCTGGTTATTAACAATCCAGTTAAGCCAGTTATCACTATTGCATATTGGTTTTATAAGCTTAAAGAAGGCTATGTTTAAAGGAAAAAGTATTCAGACAGTGGTGTAATCACAAATTATGGTCAAAGCTTGTTAGATCAAAACTTGATCTGATGTTTCCTCTCTGCCATTTCTTTCTTCTCTCTCCTGTGGACAGATCATACAGGAAAAGATGCTCAGAGGGCTGGAGCTCTCTCTTCTATGAAGAGAGGCTGAGAGAGCTGGGCTTGTTCAGCCTGGAGAAGAGAAGGTTCAGGGGAGACCTTAGAGCAGCTTCCAGTACCTAAAGGGGGCCTACAAGGAATTTGGAGAGGGACTTTTTACAAGGACATGTAATGACAGGACAAGGACAACTGACTAAAGGGTAGATTTCAATTAGATATTAGGGAGAAATTCTTTACTGTGGGGGTAGTGAGGCACTGGAGCAGGTTGACCAGAGAAGCTGTGAATGCCCCATCCCTGGAAGTGTTCAAGGCCGGATTGGATGGGGCTTTAAGCAACCTGGTCTAATGGAAGGTGTCTAATGAAAGGGGATTGGAACTAGATGATCTTAAGGTCCTTTCCAGCCCTAACTATTCTATGATTCTGTGATTCTATGAAAAAGAGCAAAAAACTGTAGGAAAAAAAAAACCACCTTTGAAGCTATTACTACTTTTATGCTTTCAAGTGCTTGAATTTCACAACTAAACTCGGTCTCTTTAAGCAGAAGTTTTTGTAATGATTCTAAGATTCAAAAGATGAAGAATAAAAAATAAAACCTTCTGCTTTACTTAGGGGCAGCATTTCCCCTCATTATTCATTATCACAAGGTTTAGGCTCTGTGTTTCCGTCATTGCAGCATGGAGTAATTTTAGCACAGACCAGAGCCTGTTGGTGTCCCAGGGGAGAGCAGAAGCAGCAGGGCTGGACTCTGCCTGGCTGGGCTCAGCTCCCATCACCCTCTCTTTGCTGCTGCCCCAGCACCAGCCAAGCTGCCTCACAACAGGGCTGTTGGCTGTTGTCGAGGCTTTTTGTGTGATGGGAATGTAGTCAACATGGAATCTTCATGATGTGTTTTAAACAAGACTGGGAATGCTCACAGCAGGACTGCATTTTACACCCATGGCTAGTCCTCAGTGGGAGGATAGCTTGTCAGGGTCAAGGGATTGCTTGATCTGACTATGCCAACTCTAGCTCTTAAGAAGTTAGAAATTCACATCTGTGACTTGCTTTGGGGGATAGACGTACTCAGGGTCATTGTGGTCTGGTGATGCCGTCTGAAACCTGAGAGTGTTTTACTCTTAAAACGTTATTCACAATGTGCAGTTTTACGTTGATTTGGTGAGTGCCTTGGTAGTTTCTGAATCCTAGTCCAGGTTGTGAAATATATGTGTATATTGGCCATATGTCAGCATATATGCATATATATGCATGCATGTATGTGTATCAGGAGCTGCTTGCTGTCAGATTTGTCACAGATCTTTAGGCACAGGTGGGATTCAAACTAAGCAAGAATCTGCTCAGACTGTTTGAAGCAACTATGTTAACAGGACCTATTTGTGTCAGGTCTCAGCCTTTGCGCATACAACGTGAAAAAACAGTGAGTTTAAACTCCCCTGAGTTTATCTAAAATACGGAAATTTTGTCATAATTATGGGGAGATACATCTTGGTCGACTGTTTTGACTCAGCCAATAAACAGTAACTAAATAGTCTGCTTGGAGAGGTTTGGAATAAAACTCTTGGGAGTTTGTTTTGGAAACACTGACACATGCAGTTCCTAAAGCACTATATGCTCCCTGGAACAGGGGTGCTCCTGACTGAAGACTGGCATTCTTCTTGGTTACATCACAGTTGAAGAACAACCGTTTCAGTCTGCACGTAAGGGGTTTCTGACACCATAATCACATTCCCATGTGCTGTCCTGTGGATCAGACATCCCAGAGTTCTTGGGAACTGGCATCCCTTATGAAGTTTGGTCTGCACTGATGGGGAAATTCCAGGCATACAACATCTGGGAATCTTTTCCATGTCCCCAGAAGCACAGCATTTTCAAGAGATTACTCTAGGTCATTTCACCTGGCCTGATCCTGCCTTGGGCCACCCTGCATGCCCAGCCATCTGGAAGCCAAGGCTTGTCTGCGGTTCTGTATGGGAGTCTTGAAGGTTTTGGAGATCTTACCATCTATAATGCAATGCAATCATTTCTGATATTTGATACCTAACAACTTCAGCATCAGTGCCCTCATTAACACCATGGATAGATTTGGCCAAGTACCGGAGAGTTCAGTGCTCATTATATAACATGACAATTCTGATGACCTGAAAGGAGGGCTTGTGGCATGTGATAGTACTCTAAGAAACTACAAAATCATTACTTGTGCATACAGGTTCCCCTGTCATCAATGTGTCTGTATCATTTAACATGTGAAATAACACATTAAGATGTTATTAGTGGATATGACAATCTGTCTTACTTTCCTCTGGGGACTAGACAATGGTTTATGGATATATTAACCCTTTTGATTTTGGCGTCTGTTATAACATGATGGATGTGTGGCATACAAAGATGTTTTTTGCTTGCTGAGATGTTTTGAATATAAAGAGAAATAAACCCACATAGAATGTGTCCATTTTGAGAGTTCATCTCCAGCCTGGCCATGTTCTTTGTTTTCGGGGCAATGGTGGGTTTGGGGATTAATAATTGTAGATATGCTAAAGCTTCTGGCAGGTAAGGGAACAGATGGGAATGCACTAATTCTGAGACTGTGGTCAGGCAACAACATATCTTGTAGACTAACAGTACCTGCGATGGCATAGAAATTACTTGACAGATACATTTTTTGGTGAAGGTGCTGAATCCCAATGCTCCTCCCATTGCCAAAAGCTAATATACTATTTTTAAAGAACAAAATTGGGTCAAAGTTCTGTTGATTTTATGTCATGCAGAGACCTGCCAAACTCCTGGATATATTTTTTTCCCTCCATTCTACTCCATGCTACTTTTGTCTATATTGTTGACATGTTGACATGTTTTAGGGGTGGACATGGCAGTCTTGGCATAATGGTTGGAATTGATGATCTTAAAGGTCTTTTCCAACCGAGTTGATTCTATGATTTCAGGCTTCTTGTTATATGAGTTCCCTATGAACTAAATTTCTCTGTTCACTGGAATATTGTGTAACAAGAAGAAAGTAAGGAACTGGTAACAGAAAGTCTGCACATTAAGCTATGTTACTTGCCTTCCAGGTGGATTTTGATGGTAAGGCTGACTCCTTGTTCTTCAGTGATGGGCAGCGAAGAATTGACTTTGTTTTGGTGTATGAAGATGAAAGTAGAAAAATGACTCATAAGAGGAGTGATCGTAAAAAGCAGAAGGTAAGTTATTTTCTGTATAAATCTAATTTGTTGCTTATGAGAGCAGGAAGGACAATGCCTCACCCAGAATAGTGATTGCATTGCCGTGTCTTCGGAGTGCTCTTGGGAGCTGGGAGACTGAAGCCCATCAAATTGAGCTGGGAAAAGGAGTGAGCTCAAGCCAGTAGGTTGCTGGGTAAACAGGCAGTATGTTGCACACTATGCTTGTCAGACTGTGCTATGTGACCTCAGAGCATCCTCCTCAGTGAACCCTTAGGAGATGTGAGCAGCAAAATGCTGGTATCAGGTTCCTAGTTAAAATTGGACACAAGGTAATCAGTCTAGGGCAGCTTTCCATACCCACAGTGATTGAATTAGGCCTTTAATCAACTTCAGTATTAAAATCATAGTATTCAGAGAACCCAAAGAAGGAGGCAACTCATCAGATGCTCCAAATCACAGTTATGAACATAGCTGCTGACGTTCTACCCAATAAAGTACCTAAGTAGTTTATGGGACATAATTGTACACCATTTTGCTACCAGAATTTCTTCCTGTATCACTCCTTCCCTTGAAACTTCAACAGCTTGCCCTTCCTGGGAACCTTGCAAAAGATTTCTGACTCATGCCAGTGCCTACTGTGCTCAAGACCACATTGGACAGAGCTTTGGGTAGCATGGTTTAGTGTGAGGTGTCCCTGCCCACGGTAGGGGGGTTGGAACTAGATGATCTTAAGGTCCTTTCCAACCCTAACCATTCTATGATTTTATGATTCTACTTGGTGCTTCTTAGCAACCATGAACAACAATCATAGGTTATTTTTAATTACTCCAGTGGACTATATTCATTATGTTGCAAGGGCCACAAAACCAAGCTTATCCATGCCACTGAGATGTTTTAATTTTGAACTGCCTGAGAAATATCCATCCACAGGATTGTAGTCCCCTTGGCATCTGCACTCTCCCACCCACATGCTTCCTTCTCTGATACAGGAATTCTAAATGTGCAGCAGCAGCCTCTGGTAGAGGCAGTGAGGACAATGGTATCACTGAAAGCATCTCATATACAAATAGTCATTTGCAGTTCAGAAAGAGAAAAACAGGAGTAAAAAGGCCTTTAGCTAAGTTGGTTGATATTCATTACACAGTGTTGTCATTGGCAATAACAGGGCAGCCATAAGGAATGTTGTTAGGAGGGTTTAAAAGAGTCCTGCAGTGAGTGGATGTTGCATTATCCCTGATCACAAGATCAGCAATAAAAAATAATTGAAAGACGTAATTAGAAACAAAAAGCTGCCCCTTTGGAAACAATTGGTTTTAGCAATTAGCATTTGACATTTATGTTTGCAATATTTGGCCATTGCCCAAATGTACTTAAAAATATAATGAGTGACTTTTCCAAGCAGTGATGGAAATTAAATGTGAACCATAGAGTAGTATTTTTAGTGCAGCATTAATGTTAGGACATTACCAGAATGAAATCACGAGTAATAAGACCTGGAGATTGTGGGTAATGCACTAGATGCTTGCAAAAAAAAACCAAACCTTGCTTCCATAGGTCTCAATCCTACAAAGATCTGCAGCCACACTGAATCTGTGGCATGCTGAGGAAGCAGTCTACTTGCATGCAAAAATGTGAGAATGCAAGTATATGTGAGAATGAGAGTGTACTAGACTAATGATGGGATACAGTGAAGACTGAGTGGCTGGGGAGCAGCTCTGTGAAGGAGGCCCTCATGGTCTTGGTGGACGTCAAGGAGCAAAGTGGCCAACAAAAGCTGTATAGACAGAAGCACAGCCAGGAGATTGAGACACGTGACTGGGGTGATATGGACTCCAAATGTGCTTTAGTCATCCCAAAGACAGAAAAGTCCTTCATCTCACTTGAGATTACTTGCTGTGCAAGTGGAGGAAGCTATCTGTGCTGCAGATGTTCACTTCCTAAGCAAATGCTGTACAGGCACTGGCAGCACTGATATTTTTCTTCCTGTATGTCCTCCTGAGTGGGATGCAGGACATTGCTTTAGGACCTACCTCACACCCACAGTAGGAGTGAAAGGACAGAAACTGAGAAGTACCAAAGAAACATATATGAATAGAATATTTGAAAAGGAGAAAGAAAATACATATACCTTATGTCTGAGATGGAAAGGAAGAGGACATTTTTGGTACAGTTTTGCATCCTTGGAATTCCATGGAAAGGAATAATTTGGCCTAGCACAGTTCCCAGAGTGGTGTGGGGATATTGTTGCCCAAGATACATACAAATTTTATCAGTCTTAGCATAAAACCAATTTGATAGCTTATCTTTACTGGTGTTTATTTGGTTGTATTTTTTTCTGGGACAAATGACTTCTACCCTTGTGACCAAATACAACCAAAATGAGCAGTATTCCCATTTACTATCAGCTTTAAATCCTGCATACATCACTGTCTGTCTGTGATCAATGATGAACTGAAAATGCCAAATTTTATAAGCACTATCTTGTATAATTCAAGGTGCTTTAAGCCTAAATCGGTTCTTCATTCATGCTACTCTTTCTTTGACACTCCTGGCATTTTTATAGAGCTATTATCCAGAGCATTATGGTTCACAGAATTTGGAATCTCGAGGTTATCAGTAATAGCAGATCCAGATCTGGTCTCATCGGGTGAAATCCTCACCTCAATGAGGTCAGCAGCAATGTCTCCACTGGCCATGTGCAACGTTGCAGGTCTGTGAAATGTAGGGATCAGCAATGTAGTCACTGGCACGAATTCTTTCTGATGCACAGTGCACCCCACCTGGTTGCATGACATGGAATTTGGGGCAGAACTTGAATTGCTAGTGGACAACTACAGATCGATGTTTCTGATGTGAAAAGTTCTGTGTGCTGGACTGAGTGGTTTTGTGTGATACCAAGAGTGAAGGAGTTCCCAGATGCTTACTGAATTCAGTCAGAACGATTTGAAATTTCTATGATTTGAAAATCAGACCTCAACCAAGTTATCCAATGTAACTGGATTCAGAGAAACAGGGCACAGATCCATCTATTCTTCTGCAGCAAGAGAAGAATCGGGTCCTGGGACCATCATTACATTTGATTTGAATGGCTTTCTTTTTCAAAAGAATTGCATAAGTGTAACTGAGAAAATGACCCAGCATTAATTTATAGTAATTAGCAGTATTCTTGGGAAAATGTCTAATACAGAAGGAATTAACTGAAAACATGGGGCTGATTTGGATAGAAGAATCAAAAATACGGAATTACAGATGCAGTGGCGCTGTGCTTCCCTCTTTTTCATGTTTCCAAAATCTGTTTTAAAGGAGGCAAAATCAGATTAAAGAAATGGCACCCTCATGGAAGTTTCTAACATAATATACAGATCCAAATGTTCGCAGATACAGTTCACATGTACAACTTAATTCAAACTCCAAACCTTTCTAAGTTGGTTTGCAATTAATTTTGCAAGCAATAGCAAAAATCGAACTGTCAGAAGCATATTCCAGAAACTGCAATGCAATCAATTAGAATTCCTACTCAAAGTATGGGTTTTGAACCTACAATTTATGTACCCTATTTGTCAGAGTAGGTTACCATCAGAACAGGAATTAAATATAACCAGTCTTCCCAGGAATGCTCCAAAATGACAGTTTTATCTGTTGGGGTCTGCAAGGAGCTCACTGTTGAAAGTTAAAGGGTCAGTGCCAGAAAGATGAATTCAAAGTAAATCGATGCAGAATGTCATTCTAGTCCATCTGCTTCCCCTCAACAGAAACTAAGAGAAAGATCATCAGTAAATTAAGTAGGAATGTAGGCAAAACCTTCATTTCCAGGATTGAAATAATTTGTGCTTCACAAAATTAGATTTTAATTTTTGTTTCAAATTAAATGCAAACTATAATTCACAGAAAATATTACACACTTTTAAGTACTGTTTTGCAGAGAGCCTCAGCAGGGTTAGAGGAGTTTGTATTCCTAAGCAAACAATGAACAGTTCCTGCTTCCAGACTTGTTTAGTTTAGATAACCAACAGCAACAAAAAACTTGGATAACTTTTCAAAAGCTAATTGTACTTTTCCCAGTGTTTAGCATGTGTCATACCTGTGGTGAGAGAACGATACTTGCATTTACAGAGAAGAAGGGTACCTCAGTGCCATTTTATGTGGTGATTTTAGGCAGTAGAGGATGGCAGGCTTTACATGCCTGTGGTATGCTCAGTCAGCAGACTGAGGAAGTCTGATAACAATCAAGAAAAGGACCTTTAGCACTGGGTGGAGGGCAATCACACCTACCCTGATGTCTACTGGATGGACTGGTTTTGAAGCAGGAACTCACTGAAATAAAATCTCTGTTCCTGAGGCAACCCCAAATCTGAATTTTACTTCTTTGACAATTGGATAAAAGGGAGAATGACAGAAGTCAAATGGAAGGAGGGAGTTACTCTGAAGTTACTGCATACATCCATAGGACCAGAAATGGTCTTTCCAAACAGGGTGACTAGAAGCCACTGTTGAGAGCAGGGCTAGACTACAGTATTGCCAGTGCTGTGTGGTCATGAATCAGGTTTCAGAAAATCACGAGGCTGCTTAAAATCAGAGGGTATCTCAGAAAATATGTATTTTGAGTTCTTTGGGTTTACTTTTTTTTTTGTTGGCCTTTATAGCATATTTTGCTTCACATTTTTATTATCTTCAAACTTAAGAAGCTTACAGAAGCAGAGCTTCTCAAGCAATTAATTTCCTAATGTTGACAACTGGGACTTTCAGGAGAGCTTTCAAAGACCACCAAAGAAACCATGAGACTTGGTAGCTAATGTTGATACAGCAATCCTCTCCACTCCCTTTACTTGATAGCCATGAGATTGGCTTCAGGCCCCGTGCTCTTTCTCTTCTTGACTGTGATTTATGTGTTGCCTGTCAGGTAATGCAGAGGTGGATATTCAAGCACTCCTTCCTTGTTAGGAGTTTTCTTCTGAAGTCACACAGATATTGTTGTAGGGAACTTTTCTGTTTGCACAAAAGAAACTAAAGATATAAGTGGGCATCCTCCTATCACTTCTGTCAATCACAGCAAGTGCTCCCTACCACTTAAGCAACACAGAGAAAAGAACTGCTAGTGGTCTGCTACCAGTTTCCAGATTCAGAGTCTTGTTAGTCTCCTCAGGGTTGGAAGACATGAGGCACTGAAAGCACTATGGTGTAAAAGCAGCTCGCAAGAGCTAGCCCTCCTACATGCCTGTAATACTTGGAATTTACTTACTTACTTGCTTTCAGTTCTTTAAGATTGTATGTTCTTATGCATCCTGTAGTGTCTTTGTCGACTGGCTAGCCATTCAGTCATCAAAATCTGTCAGGTTGCGCTTTACCATCATCACATTATCATTACAGCTTAGCCTTGCTGGTTGCTGAGCAAAATGCCAGATACTGAAATAAAGCTGGGACAGTCTCTACCTTCCAGCCTAATAAGCTATCATATCTTTATGCTGTATTCCCCAGTCAATGCAAAACCACTATAGACTCCTCTGGGTAAAAGACTAGCTCCTCCATAGATCATCATACACATAATTCAATCATTTATATAAAATAGCAAAGCCCCTAATTAGCAAAGCCTCCCAGGGGCTTTGTTCCCCAGTACTTGCATTAATGCATTATTAGAAACCTTAATATTGTCAACATTCCTCTAAGATTTTGAGGGAAAATTAATTTGGGTAACGCCTTGCCATAATAAATTATTAAAGCAATCTGAATTATAAGATAAAAAAAAAATCAGTATTAGACTTCTGTAAATGAGAATTGCCCTGCTTTGTGCTATCTAAGAAGAAACAAAGCAGTTACTTAGCCTTTTTTATTTTCTGAAACAAAGGAGAGCTTAGGTTGAATTATTTTCATGATTCGGTATTATTCACCTTACAAAAAAATCATGTGAATATGGAAGAAGCGAAGAGGTAGGATGAAAAGGCAGAAGAGTTAATAGTGGTGTAGACAAACAATTCCTGTCTTGCGCACTACATATATTAACGATCTGGTAAGGGGATTGAGTTACGACATAACAAAAATTGCAGAGAAAATCAGTACATAGTTTATTCAGAAGCTAAGACAACTGTGAACCTTTATCTTTGAAGGAAAATGGAGAGCACTATTACCTATGAAATTTGAAAAATGAAAGGAAATACGTTACCGCAAGGAAAAAACTCATTAACATTTGGGATTCTAAGTTAGTGCTGTTAGTACAAGGAAGAGACTTAGATGTCACAGGAAACAGCTATATTGTGTCCTCTTCAAGCTCAGCTACCATCAGAATTCTAGACAGTAGAAAGTATGAGGTATATATAAGTGTGCATATTACACATATATATATACACAATGTTATATACACAATGGAAAAATACGAAAAGCATGCTACTGTCACCAATAGCAAGTGGATTAATGGCACATGGAGAGAGGCCTCCATGAAGACCCCAATCAAAGTTTGGGATTGTGGTTTTATCTTGGCAAAATAGAGGAATAAGGAGAAATGTAGAAAGTATTGATGAAAGAAGAAAACAGATTGGAAGATTTGTCTCTTCCTGTCCCTAACTCAAGAAGAAGGTGATATTCACTGGAGCAAAAAGGCAGAAAGCCTGAAACAGATTTGACAAGTACCTTTGAACAAAATATGAAATTGGTCCCTCATGAACATTGCTACATGCAGGTGCTGCAGTTGAGAACTAAGGAAGTTTAGAAGGGGAAGGCTGTTTATATTATTGTTCAGGTTTGTGACTTTTAATTCCAAGACTTGCTAGAGTTTTTTGGAAAATGTTTTTTTTCTGCATGGGGACTTGCAGCAGTCTTTAAACATTAAAGAACTAGATGAAACTTATGTGGGGATACATGACCTGTGCCGGGAGAACTCCTGAGGATTTCTGCCCTTTTTGCTTAAGCATTACCCACCTAGACTGAGTGGGTCTTGGGTCTAGTCCTGAAGATCATTTGCCATGTATCTACCAAAGTTCCTAAGACTTTATGTAAAGGGTCATTCATTGACTTAGGTCCTCCACAGGCCTGCATCTTAAGCACAGATCTTAAGGCAGTTAGTCTGACTATAGAGAGCCAGGTGACAGAAAACATTGGATCATTCTCATTTTAAGTTCCTTTAGTGGTAGGTGCAGAATCCATTAAGCACAGGGCATATAAACAACAAAAATATTGGTCAGTGGAATGAAAGCAATCTGTGAGTAAGAAAGTAGTATCACCCAGTCACTCTAAGAACCTCGCTGCATGCCTAACCTACCCTGCTACCCTAGTTCACACATAAAACCATCAGTTCACAGTGTATTAATGTCATCTCCTTCTGGCAACTGCTCACAGAGGCCCCTTTCCCAGCCCAAGCCACCTGCAGGTGCTCCCCCCTAACCCATGCTGGTACTTTGACATGCAGCCAGTAGGCCAGGGAGAGCTGGCCACCCTTGACTTTCATAAACATCTCATTGTGGAAGTATCCAGTTGATGCAGATGGCTTTCAGATTTGATTAGTCCATATGAAGTTTCAAAATTTCTTGTAAATGCTTTATGGTGTTGTGTATTTTGAGGGGAGAGGGGCTGTTTGTCTGTGTGGTTTTGGGGGGAGGCCATGTGTGTGGAGAAGCAAAAAGATTGCCAAGATATTTCAGATATTTTTGTAACTCACTACCTGCCAAGTTCTGGTAACTGTGAAGTGAAATTAAAGTGATCCATGAAGGAAAACTTGCCATATCCTTCAGGAGACATCAAATGCTTGTAGAATAACACCACTGACTCTTCAAGTACTATAGCTCTCGACTACTTCCTTTGGGGATGCTTATTCATAGGTTAAAATGTAGAAGGCTACTACAATTTGAACCACTGTGTGAACTCATATGATTATTGTGAAAGAAGAATAAAGTTACAGGCTGCTGGGTCAAAAGTGGTATGAAAGCTCTTGAGATGAAGACTTTCTAAAGGACAAATTAATGCCGGGAGGGAGGCTGCCATCAAAAATTTGATTAGAGACTAAAGATGAAGGAGATCACAAGTTTCAGGGGTAATTGCTCTTCAAAATTCAAAATTTGGGACACATTTTTACCTCTGCAATGTACCAGAAACTAAGAGGGTGAATACTCTGTAGCTGCATTTGAGGACAATGTTGCATATGGGCAATGTTGCATACCAGACAAAACGCCGGATCAAGATCAGTAGGTAAGACTGTACCTATCAGCCAGTAGCTGTCAAGTGGGCTATAGAGGTAATGACCCAATGATTTTTTTGGGAGGCAATTCCATTCTTCTGTGCATACGTATTTGTGAAACTTGGAACAGATGTTTTATGGTGTTCAATACCTTTTAACAGAGGAAGAGACAAGTATATGAATCAAACCTGATAAACAACGGCTTGCAACTTGAAGCAACGAGATCGGTGAGTGCTCTTCCCTGTGTGAACGGCCGTATCTGAGAGCAAAGCTGCCCCTGTGGGAATAAGGAAACTGGATATATGAATTTACTGTAACATTTCTCTCCTCAGGAGAAAAAAGCCCATCTTTTTCCATCAGTAGTGCCTCTGTTTTCTGATGTGCAATTTTTAAACTTTGTGTCTGTTCTTTCCTCTGCAAAATGATGCAGATGGTAAGCTGGGAGATTACATGGAATTGTGTTTGTTGGATGGGAGGTTGTGTTTGTTCAGCACTTGGAAGCACTGGCTGTACTCTGAGGTTCTCCCCCTATTATGGCCATGTAGGACATGTGGGAAGCCAGTGGGTGTGCAGGGCAGAATGCCCCTGCCAGAAGAGCAATGCAGGGCTCCTACACATGACCCTGCTCTTTGCAAGGCCTGGCACCACGCAAGTGATTGAGACTATCATGCTTTGTGTATTTTTGGGCTGCGATGCTGCCTGCAGGCAGTTCAAGAGTGCTGTGATAATTCACAGCAGCTGCTGGAGCTGCTGTCTCTTGCAGGAAGGGTTAGAGGCCCTCAAAGCCCCTTTCCTTCCTGCCCTGCAGGGTTGCAGTGCTCCATATGGGTCTCCCCGTCCCAGGCAATCATTTCCAGTCTAAATTTGTTGTTGTTTGGCAGTCTACAGCGAGCTCCAGAAAAGGTCATTTTGCCCCTTTCTCCTAAATTAGACTCAGAATCTATGGCGTCATGGTATTTATTTGGTTTCTGCAGTGCAGACTCGTGCTGCACATCCAAGGATGTAGTCTTGCTCTTCGCATTCATAAGTTAACCGCTTACTGGAAGTCTGACGTGGCCCTCTTGCTATACTTACATGTCACTATATTTACATGTTGCAGTTTTCAGTAGTTCTGCCATGGTCATGACTGAAAAACTTTTGAAACTGGAAGTTTCCCCAGGCTAGATCAGATATCTGACTGATGTTCCAGAGCCAGTGAGCTATGTAATGTAATTTCAAGTGGCTGAGACCCAGTAATGCAGGGCATCAATAGAAGTTCTGCAGGTGATGTGCAGACGGGAGGTGAGGGGCTGTTAATGTCCCCACTGCATACTGGTGCTGGTTAGCACATGCAACTGGGATCAAAGTGCCCCACGCAGTCTTTCTCAGCAGTCTTAGCTGATTTCCCTTTCCCTCTCCCCATTCTCACTATGAAGCTGAGAACTGGGGTCGCCCAGGAGCATCCATGTGTGCTTAGACTACTTCCATCAAGTCACATCACATTGGGGTTGTACTTAAACTGCTGGGGAAACACTGACAGCTCCAAACCCACAGCGGCCATGCCAGGCTATATGGAGGAAGCATTGCTACTCTTAAATTGCTTTGTAAAATACTTTGCAGATATGTAAAAAGTACATTAAAAGAACATTTAGCTGTCTTTCTTAATATACCTTTATATGCCTTTATATGCCCGAGTGTTTCCACCTCGTGTCAGTGCTTTTACAGAAGTCAGTGGTATATTTCCTAAGACAGAAAATGAATGCAACTTTAAGTTGGTCTTCTATGAGCTGTAAAGAGAAAGAAAATTCTGGATAGTTTAAAAAATGTTCTGAAAAGTCCTTTGCTTTCATTTTGTTGAACATGTATTTTTAATATTCTTTCATTCCAGGTTTTGGATGAAAAACTTATTTTTGTGAAAGTGCATGCACCTTGGGAAGTGCTGTGCACATATGCTGAGGTTCTGCACATCAAATTGCCCCTGCAACCCAATGACCTGAAAACCCGAGACTCAGCTTTCAACTGGTTTAGCAGACTCTTCACAGTGGATGAAAATATCATCAAACCTGAGCAAGAGTTTTTCACTGCCCCTTTTCAAAAGGAGCTTTTGTCCAGCTTTTATGTCCAAGACAAAGACACATTTTTCAATCCTGCAACTAGAAGCCGAATTGTAAGTCCATGGAGTGTTTTTAGAATTTGATCTTAAAAAGAAAAGATGTGTTTAATCAAATCAGTGCAATTACCTTCATGAAAGCATCCTGAAAAATTATAAATATTTGGGATGCAGTAGTCCTGTATCATTTATGAGTCAGCCTGGACAATCCAGAATGAAAATATACCTTACATTTATTCCATTTCTCTTCCACCTGAATTTAAAGGAGAAATTTGAATGGTTTATGTTCTCCATGCAGTTAATTTTGTTAGCACTGCTTACCCTTTCCTAAACTGAGTATATGTTGAGACAGGTATAGCTGTGATCACTTTCAAGTTGCAAGAGACACCAAAATATTTATCAATTTCAGGTTCATTTTATCCTGTCCCGTGTGGAATATGCAACCAAAAACAATGTGAAAAAGTTTGGCATTAACAAATTACTGGACACTGGAATCTACAAAGCAGCATTTCCCCTTCATGATGTAAGTCCAGTGCTTGAAACTAAAATGTATTTTAAAATGGAGATCTGAACTATATCTGTGGGGTTTATATCGAAAAACAGAAGCACTATCGATTGCTTTACTCCTTGACTGGTCATTATATCCACATAGTTGAGTAAGACAGAGTTTGGCTGAAGAGATTTTCTTTCAGAGCACTGTTGGTTAAAAATGCAGCTCCATAACTGAAAAAAAAAACCAATATATTTCATTTAAGAGTTGTTAAACTTGTATTCACTGGGAGATGTAGTTCAGTAAAGTGCCTGGCCTAAGTGGTAATTCCCATGGCGCACAGTCTCATCAGTTCTAAATCAATTTTAACATTGTCCCCTTTTTTAGTACTCAGTTTTTCAGTATTAAAGTTCCTATCAATCAAATATCAACATTGTTAATAAAGATGTAGACTACAAATCTCATCTTAGGATGTGTGACAGTCTCACACAGCAATAAACACTCCCGCAGTGCCCAAACATTGCAACGTACGTGCAGGAAGACACAGGCCTCTACTGGCTCTGTCCAGGTAGTCCAGTACCTCACAGGTGATGTCAGAGTCATGCAGAGAGAATCTTAACAGGGATGGATTTCAGCTGGCAGTATTAAGAAATCCAGCTTTTGTAACTACACTTCTGACACTTTAAAAAGTGTCACATCTCATTTCAAGAAGAAAATTATACTGAAAATTTTTGTGTATACAAAGGCTACCAATAGAACAGAAAAAGAAAACAAAGGGAAAAAGAAATCAGATTTCAGAGTATTTGCCTAAAGAAAAACTCCATCTTAAGCTGTGCATGGGATACAGCAAGCAAAGACTGAGGGCTGGCTTTCTGCATTGTATCTATTATACACCCACACCCCACACACTTCCTCCTGAGTTCTGTGTCCGAGGTGTGTTCTGCTGTGAAGACACCGAGCACATGAGAGGTCAGGAATGGTAGCTGCTTCAGCTCTTTGGACTTGGCTTAAAATATTCAGGAGGCCTACAAGGATTTTAAGGAAATCTTTAAGGCAGAATCAAGACAAATCATGTTTCTTGTAAATAACCCGAAGCTTTACAGGATAGAATTAATACCATTCATGACTATCCATTTTAAGGTTTCCTTTTAAAGATTAAAAACCTGCCTTGCAGGCTACTTCTATCATGGCATGGGGAATTTGGACTCAGTATGACTAGTAATTACTGACTGTCTTTTTATACAATTACAATTATATATCATGGCTCCTCTGAAAATCAAGATTAGATGATAGATTTCTGTCACTTGTCTTGTTGCATCAGAGATACAGAATGGAAAAGTCCCTCAAATAAAACAGGCTTTATTGAAATAGATTTTCAAATAACCTAGTAAAACCCACAAGTATTATCTCCATGTGAACTCTCTTTTGAAATTAAAACAGAGACTAGAAGCCCTGGATTTATCCCTCAGACTTTCCAGCCTTCATTCCAGTACAGTATTATTTTGAGGCAAAGGATGTTAGCATGCTAAAGCTACTTGAAATCCATTTTAATTTAGTCCTGTTCTCTAATTAGAATGGATCCTTTTCTGTTTTCTATTCCTAAGTGCCAAGTCACTGACATGTGCTTCGATTTAATTTAATAGTGAGTCTCTGTTATTTTCACCTCACATACGTAAAGTGTTTGCTTTAGCTTTTGGTTCCTTTCTGACCTTCTATCCTGAAAGCTGGTGCTTTTCCAGAGCTGCCTTCCTGCTCCTTTTCCTGGCTTGCAGCAGATCAGACTAAAAGGCTATTCAAAGCTCTGGCTTCATGGCCAGAGCCATAGGGTCTGCTGAGATGACAACTGATCTGTGCTGGTTAGATTAATGGTATCTTCTTCTCATGCTTTTTCTGTTTTGCAGTCTAGTTTTAGGCACCTGTCAACCGATCCCAACTGCCCAAGTGAACGATACCTTCTCTACAGAGAATGGGCTCATCCCAAAAACATTTTCAAACTGCAGCCCCTGGATTTCATCAGGTTGGTGTGATTGAGGCTGGAGTAATGAACTAGGAATTTACTTAGCAGGTCTGGTTTTGGGAATGTCAAAGAGACACAGCTCAGTTCTGAGGGCAGATCCATGCACCTATATCAATTTATGCACAGGAGCATACTTTGAACTTGGTTTCATGATAAGCCACTTCCTGAAAAAACAGCCAGTTAAAATTTTTCTTTGCAAGGTATGCTTTTTCTCTCCTTTTCCATTCCCCCCCCCCCTTCCTATCCTCTTATAAAGGCATTAAAGTGGTGATAGAAATACCCAGCTGCAATACTGCAATCCCGAAGTTCAAACCGGAGGAATATGACAATATGAGTTGGTACAAAATGTATGAAATGAAGAGCCATTTGAAACAGAAATATGAATTTACTTGCATTTCAGGAAAAAAAAACAAACAAACCTTTCCCCTCCACAGGAAATACTACGGCGAGAAAATTGGAATCTACTTTGCTTGGCTGGGCTTTTATACTAACATGCTGATCATGGCTGCGATTGTAGGAGTTGGCTGTTTTCTGTATGGATGCCTGACAAAGGACAACTGCACATGGAGGTACCTGATCAGGCCTTTTTTAATATCCCATGCAATTTTGATCAGTCACCTATAGAGGGGGACTGTGCAGGGTTTGCAAGACACTGCGCAGTAAGAGGCAAAATGAAAGGGCCTGAAAACAGCAGTTCTGGATTTGAAAGTAAAGACACAAAATATAAGAAGAGTAATGGATGTCCATGGACCATTAGAGAGATAGACATCTGTGAGTTTGTTATTTCCTCATTTTATTTATATTTTGCACTAGGTTCACCACACCTAGTGTAGAAACACAAAGAAAGGAGTGGCAATCAGAAGCCATAGCATCATTTTCACTGTGGTCGTTCTGGAAGAAGGTATCCAAAGACCCCCAAAATTTCTTTCCTCTATTTTGAGGGAAGAATAGAGAATGAGCAAGCACAAGGGGCCTTATCTGCCTAGGATATATTAGGATGTGATGCATAGCCCTCATCAGAATATGACAAATTCAACTGTGGCACAATGACCTTGAGGTCATCACTGTGCTAAATCATCTACAGACCATCACACTGTATACACTCTTCTGGAATGGTGTTTATCTTTAGAAAACATGTTGAAGGGCTGTTCCAGAGCTCCACTCCTCTGGCTAATGGAGTATAAACCCATTTAGCCTTATGCTAGTATTATCATTTAGTTAAATAGTTCATCTCCCTTCCTGGTGTTTACTGATGTATTTATAGAAAGTAATTACACCACCTTTCAGCCTCCACCATACTAGGTTAGCACGTACTGGTTAGATGGCAACTCTTTTGCCATCTCTTAAGAGACAAATCTGCCATTCTTTGTATTGCCCTAGCAGCCCCCTCTGTGCTTTTTCCAACCTGATCCTTTGTAGAAGACCACAAGGACTAGGTAGCTATTTTGGTTCTGCAGCTGTTCCTTGCTCTGGTAGGCAGTGTTCCTTTCCTTCTCCCCCCAGACCTGCTATGGTAGTGCGTGTGAGTTTCCTGTTGAAATGTGAGATCTTTGAAGAGTGGTTTTAGTTTTGATGGGAGCAGTTTTGAGAATTACTACCATGTACGAGGGATGGAAACCATTTTCCTCTTATGTCATCCATTTTTGAGATGAGGATTAAGAATGGAAATGGGGATATATTGCCAGGCTGGGGTGGGGAATTCCTGAGAGCAGATGACTGGTAAATTATTTCTCAATTCCCTGAGATTATTGTGCTGTCCGTGCGTGCAAAAAAAAAAGGACTAAAGAATTTAGTGTTGGTAAGTGACTGACTAGTTTTGTTTTTAGCCAAGAAGTATGTGATCCCAACATAGGAGGTAAAATCATCATGTGCCCTCAGTGTGATAAAGTATGTACCTACTGGAACCTCACCATCACTTGTGAATCATCCAAGGTAACTACATTTACAGCTTATAGACACACTATTGAACTTTAGTTGCGCTTTCTCTAGTACTGCATATAAAAAGAAGCTGTTACTCCACTAATGATGTCCTGCAGAATTGCTAGAAATAGTCAAGTAATTGTTCCTTTTGATAGGACGACTGAACTTGGGAAAGTAAAAACAACATCGATTTCTCCAATTTGATCTAAGATGAAACAAATTGTTGGTTTGTTTGTTTTTTTTTAATTTCACAAATATTTGATACAGGACTACAGTGGATTTTTAATTGAAACACTTTGTTCCATTTGGAGATACTTCCTCATTTGGGGGATGGGAAATTCAATTCCTAAAGTCTTGATTCAGTAGCTGTGGATCAATTTTGCTAAGGAAATTTTTTAAGCATGTTTTGACATTTCTAAATTCTGCCCCTTCCCTCCCCAAAGATGTTGTCTGGATCCATACCTTGAATTTGACCTGTGTTACCAAGGAGGAGATGGGAACAAGGAGGTGTTGTTGTGGGCCATGATAGAAGTTCTGATACAGCCATGTCCTGTTAGCCATGGAGGAGGCTAACCTCACTAGGGGAGCCTCACCTTCTTTCTCCATTACCTCATCTCACTAGGCTAATGTTAGCCTTTTGTTATTCCTTTCCATAGGTTCAGTCACTCTCAAAACTGCAATTTTTCTGCTATTTGCCAAAAATATTTTGTCCAGCTTTAATGTGTTGCTTCAATGCATTTAAAGGGTAAAAGAAATAAGAATACAGGGAAAAGGCTATGATGGAAAGAAAAGGCAAATTGAGACCACAGAGGTATCTCATCACAATGTGTTTTCACTAACTGGCTTGATTTGTTGTCATCCTGCTCATGAAAACCAGATGTGTCCATTGCCTTTTTGTGGGTGTATTAAAAATACATAACTCTATACTGAGCTCCCAGACTAGAAGCACTGTTTTTCCTCTTCCTATGCAACAGATGGGAGGAAGACTGACAGCACACCATTTTACTATCCTCTTGCTGCACATTTGGCTTATACTTTTAATTCTGGGCTTTGCATTTAATTTCCTTAATTTACTGTGGAATACTGTACATTGACAGAAACTGAGGAAACACAATCAATAAAGGTTGTTTATTAAGCTACATAAAAGCTAAAAATCGACATATTCAGTAGGCAGCTTCTGTCCTGGGTTAGTGTAGAAGAAAAAAAAAAAAGGTTAATTATATTTTAAGCCTTTTTTCTTTTCCATTTTTCCAGAAACTCTGTATATTTGATAGCTTTGGAACACTGGTGTTTGCAGTATTTATGGGAATATGGGGTAAGTCGATTTCAACAACTGTGGTTTGTCATCTAATTTTGGCCAAGCCTCCAGCATCAGCCAGATAAACACAGATGAATTTGAAACAACTTTATGTTCTAGCACACAGGAATTCAGCAGTAGGTAGTTCTATGTAGCAGAAGATATCCACATTCACAGGAACTCCCTTTTAGCATCATAAGAAAACAAAGAACTGTAGAACTTAAAGTTGGTCTTTCAGTGTCTGTTTTGTTTCGTTTGACTTGGAGGAAAGTCCAGGAGAAATCGTTAGAGCTGCCTCATGTTCATGCAGCAGGAGCCACCACATGCTTAAGTATATCTGGCAGAGGAGCTGTTATTTTTCTGAAGAGCTTTGGAGCTGCCTGTGCCTATTAACAGCTGTGAGGCTGCACAAGGCAATTGGAAAACAGTCATTTATTACAGTTCCCAGGAAATTTGTTCCTCCTGTCTTTATTGAAGAAACTGACTGTAAAAAGTGTGACTAGTGGTTACAAAGCACTAGATGTGTCTTTTAGCGGAGAAAACATAGCTGAAACCAGGATGTTTCCCATGGGTGAAACCATGTGGTGCTGTATTCCAGGCATATGGCAAGGTTCATTTTCCCAGAAATGATTTTGTTTGTTCATATTAGCAACTTTGTTAACTGGCCTTTATCGCACCGTCTTACCCAGAAATTACCAAAGTAAGTTCAGTGTTAGGTCTGTACACAGGATACTTTGAATAAAATAACTCATGTAACATTTTAAACTCGTATGTATGCTGACAAGAATACATCATCTTTGCAAAACACATTTTTATTATCCTAAGATCCTAGAATCCTAGGACAGTTTGGGTCGGAAGGGACCTTGGAGGTCATCTACTTCCAACATCCCCTAAAGCGCTTCAAATAGTTACTGCTTTAAAGTAATGTAAGATGAAACATATAGTGTCAAAAGAAGACTTCTTTAAAATGCATGCTAAAATCAAAATACTAGCAGGAAATACTCTATATAAAAGTAAATTAGAAGTTTGATACTAATGTAATCTTCTCCTGTCATAGAAATAATTTATTTGCAATTTGCTTTTTAATTAAAATTGTGTTTCCTGTTTTGAAGAATGGTTTCAAAATTAATAATCACAAACTTAAGAAGCATGGTTATAGTGATGGCTGCAAGGTCTGTTAGTATTCTTGTCGTAAGTTCACTATATAAGGAGGTGAATTGCATTACAAATCCAGTCAAATTCAGATATTCAGTCAAAATTGTACCGAATCCAAATGACCCATGGTCATGGTGCAATTCCAGCTGTAATTTCCACCTTCCTCTAATACTTTTGTAGACCTCCTGGTCCAAAACAGTTAAAATATTAGTAGATTTTTAGATCTATTATTGCATAATTATCATCAATGCACTTTTAGTAATTTCTTCTTTTTTAGTGTATTCCCTTCAAAGATCTTAAAGCACCATAAAACACCAGGGAATCTTGTCTCAGGCACTCATTCTCTATACCTTTTTGCTCTGGACCAACACTTCTGCCACCTATCCCATGATGGTATGACTAGATCGGCAGCTTCCACTTCACTTGCTGCCATCACTGATCCCGTCCCTGAACATAAGCATTTCTTTTCAGTCCTTGCTGTCACAGTTTCAGAGGCAGAATACCTGGGCCACACTGAGTGGCAGTGGTGAGGGACACGTGAAAAGGGTCACCACAAATTACCGGCATGAGGTGGAATTAGTGCTTGGATGTCCTGCCTCTGAAATGTCATTTGTTTCCACTGTTAAAAAAGCCCACTGGTTGAGGAAAAAAGGAAAATGTCAAATCCAGCAGCAGCTCCTTCCCTGTTCTGAAAGATGCAGCTTGGCTGCTGGCTGATTTTGGCTAGTAGAAGTTTTCTTTGTACTGGGGCTGAAGGCTGTCCCTATGTTATGTGTCTTTCTTCCACTGTTAGCAGAAAGGCTGTCACAGAAAAAGTCCCTGCACTTCTGGGGTCTCCAGCAGCAGCTGGATTTGCAGCTGGGGCAAACCAGTATATCTTCCTGTGGTTTGGGCTGGGCAGCAGTTAGAGGTTTATGGGAAACTAATCTTGCTCTGCAGGAGAAGGCAGATGTGGTCTTATGGCCCATTGCTTGGAATGGCCTTTATGCTGCTAAGTATGAAGTAGCTGAGAAGTCCTTGTGAAAGAGGCCTGTGAATAATCTGGGGAAGAGAGTTTCCTGGGGTTCTGCCTGTGTGTAGATGCCAAGGTCCTCTTACAGCCCAGCCCATGGAATTTTCTGGTTTTCAAATTCTTCAATTTGGGGTTTTTTGGAAATAAAAATATTTTGGAAATAACCTTTAATGTTTTGAAATGTAACTGCATGCCATTGATGTTTCATCATTCAGGATGAAGTCCAAACACCACTTTTAGGGTTAATTACTCCCAGAGAATGAACAATGCAGTAATGGGATACTAACTCCTCCTGGAGTTAGTGCTGCAGAGCCACACCACTGATCTGAGGATGCACTGTCTTCAGTAACAGAGCATCCAGGGGTACCGGGGATCATGGTACTGACACCCATTGTCGTGTGCACCTCCCAGCCTTCTCAGTGGGCCTCTCATTGCCTCTGCTGCCAGACCTACCCACATAATGTCTCAGGACGAGGTAATGAGTTTGGCTGGATTCATGTCTAGCCAGTACTCCTTAGGCATCTGTGCTTCCAGTTGTAGGAGCGCGGTCCAAGGGAACTAACTGATGGCCCAGCCCAGAGAGTTTCTAAGCTTCATGCCTAGCAAAAACAGCTGCGGCCTCATCAGATTGGTGCTAGCAGAGAAGGAAAGACAGCTGTGTTTAAGCACCTTCACCTGAACCATCATTGGTTCTTGTTGCCTGCAAATGGATTATTTGTCCATGTAGAAACTGCAGATTCAATGAACGTTTTTCCCTGCGGCAATTTTTGGTGTACTGAGTTTTTCTTTTCTAGATGTCCTGCACTCTTCAGTATTTTCTCTTCACCTATCCAACCAATTTGCTTTCTTATGCATCCTGTGACAAACTTTATCAAAAGGAGTCTATAATACAAAATCCAAAGTTACCATACTCTAGGCTTAGCCAGAAAGCAAATAAACGTATATGCATTCTTTCACAGGTGCTTACAACACCATTTACCTCAGGTTTCTCTTATTAAAGTACCTATGCATCCAAAGCAATAATTGCATGAAGGAGTAGATCCAGTTATTTTCACCATTGCATTAGCCAGTTAGCCATGGGGTTTTATGCCATGTCTGTGCAAAGTTGCATGGAAAACCAAGCCAAATGTTACAGCACAGGGCGTCAAGCAGTGTCCAGTACTCACATGGCATTGTTCATTTTGTCTGTCTTCTGGATAGTTACTTTGTTTCTGGAGTTTTGGAAGCGACGGCAGGCTGAACTGGAGTATGAATGGGACACAGTTGAGTACTTAGAGCAAGAAGAACAAGTTCGCCCGGAATATGAAGCTCGGTGCACTCATGTAGTGATGAATGAAATCTCACAGGTAAGAAATATTCCGATAACTGTTGATGGCTACTGCAACAGACATGTTGTGAGAGGACACTATGAAAATGGCAAATCTGGACTGGAGCTGTGTAAATCAGCAGTGTTTCAAGGAGTTGGCCTGGAAATAGTGAATTTATAAAGTACAGATGCATGGAAGGGAATTTACACCTAACTGTAGGCATCTTAAGGTAGGAGCTTGAGGAGCTTTGAGGAGCTTGCACTGCTTAGGTTCCTGTGTCATAAATAAACAGAAGCAAGCATCATCCCCAGCTTAGGAGACTAAGTCTACCTTATTAAATTCCCCAAGAAATGCTTCAGTGTCACTGCCAGAGGCCAAGATCATAGAGAATTTGCTATCTTTGCCTAAGACTGCATCAGGAAAAAAGGGTGAAATAGAGGGAAAGATGTTACACTATATATTATGCCAAGACAGGGTTTTTTAATCTTAAGATGTTTCTGTTTGAACCCTATATAAATAGGTATTGTTGCTAAGTGCATGTGAATGCAATTATGATTAATAACAGCAAACTCACAGGGACAAGGATAATCCTCATTTTAATGAAATAGGATTCATATTTATGAGGATCTTAGTGCAGATCTCTATTTGTTATACATTTTGAGTAGCTTTAGCTTTTGTGGCTCACTTCAGCTCAGCTTCACTTTTTATTATTCTCTGTCAATATATCACCCTAGCATTTATCTGAGCATTTGCATTGCTTTCACATTCCATCCACGTCATACTAATGTTTACTAGAGGGCACTTGAAAAGTTTCAAAATTAACTGCCATAGTTGAAACTATCCTATATATGTCTTCTTTTAATATCTTGTACTACAAAAAAAATGGTTCTGTTTAAAAGCTTATAATCCTTCAGTGTATAAAGTCATAGTTGGAAAGTCCTTTTCAGACAATTCAAAGAGTGAAGAATATGCTAAGCCATAATGATTTTGATCCTCAGAGATCCTATAAAGACTCAGTGAATTTTCACACCACTATTTTGGGTAGACATTTCCTTGGAAAAGCCATTCCATTGTTCCTATGGGATAAATTGAGAACTGCAGAGATCAGGGACCGGAATTTTAGTGCCTGCTAGTTTTAGCCAATGAGGTTTGAAAGGTAATGGCCTTGGATCTTGGATCAGCCAAGAAGGATGTGTCCATTCAAAAGGACTATGTGCCCTGTCATAGCTGAAGTCAGTAAGACCTGAGGACACTCAGCCTCTATAGAAGTCATTTATGTTTTAGAATGGGCAGCCAAAAAGAAAACCCACAAAAGATACCTGTAATCAGGCAAGACTTTTGAAATCATGAGTAAATGTGAGTTTCCAGGGTAACAAAGCAGGAAAGGAAACAAAACCAGGGACTTCCTTCCCTTTTTCTGTCATTATTATAGTAAAGGGTTTGATTGAAGCATGCAAAAAAAAAGTTAAGGAAAAAAAAAAATATGGAGTGCATCCTTGATCTGTTCTTAATCTTTTACAGCAAGAAGAACACGTGCCATACACTGCCTGCGGGAAGTGCATGCGGATGACTTTCTGTACAAGTGCTGTCTTCTTCTGGGTAAAGTTCTTCTCTTTTTATTAGTTCTTCTCTTTTAATTTAGACACCTCTCTAGCAAGTGTCTTAAAAAAAAAGATCCTGAGCTGAACGAAAGGTAACAATGGGCCAGATTCAGCTGGATTGCCATCTGATTCATAAACCAAGCCCAATAGGTATAGAGCCACATGAAGAAGGTAGCCGTAGTCACCAAATGCTCATTAGCATAGAGTCAATAGAAAATGCACATCAAAATATCCTGCAGCTGTACCTTGTGAGTTATGCTTGCAAATGCGGTCCACTGACTTTTCCCTCATTATTTTAAGACAAATGTTTCTGCTTTTTGTGGGGGAGTAGGGGAAAGACTTTGGTTTATATGCTCTCCTCCTTGCCAGTTTCTATCTTGCTTGTTCCAGCCATTTGCTTCAATATCGTGTCTCACAGTCCTGGACGTCTTTCAGGTTTTTCGTTTCACTCCACAAAGCAAATCTGGGTGCTCTCTAATCTTTCAGAGCTCCTGCTTTAATTACAACTAAAACTTCAAAGCAGTCCAGTCACCCACGGAACAATATATAACATGGTGATCATGCCCAGAGAGGTCACTTTGAAAAACTCTGTGTTTTAGCATGCTTTGTGTCCTCCTTGCCTGTAGCACAAACAGCAGCTGGAAAAGATCTTGTCCTAGATGACAAGAGACAGATAGGAGATAGAGCGGTGGCTGGCAGCCAGGGGAGCCTCAACGTTAACACGTCTGTAACACAAAGGAAAGAGTAGTTTACTGTTGGATCTAAATAGGCAGGACTCCAGATTGAAGGGAAGAGATTTGGTCTGGGTTTATCATTTGTGCTACTTCACTCATTATGTGCAGGGTAAGGGGAGGCAGGTGGATTCATGGCAGTTTGCAGAGACAGTGAAAAAAGTATTCACAGATCTATGGACCTCAATCTGAATAGTAGCTAGAGAAGTAACAAGAAATAAAAGCAGGAAGAGAAGCAGAAAGAGAGGAGATGGCAAGCAAGATAGGGTGTGTGGATCATTATTACAACTCCTGCAGACCACACGACTTGACCTAAAATTTGTCTGTTCTTTTGGAGGTTATGTAATCTTTAATATTATCATGCAGAAGGAAGGAACAACCCCCTATATAATCAGTGCAGACTTGCTAGTACATTTGCCATCCTATGCCAATTGCCCAATGTCAAAAGAGGGAGATTTCTTCCATCGCATGCTTTGATGCGTAAGATTTGATTACACATCTCATTATCTTTGCTTACATCAGTACAAACCTTGTTATTAGACATAAACCAGAGCATCTCTTTTCTTTGCTGCACATTGACTACAGTGCATAAAAAAAAGGCTTCTTCTATGGATTCTATATTTAGTGCTTTCTACCATATTTGATCATCCTCTGGCAATGGAATGACAGGCACATAGCTGGTTTTCTTTTGCCTACTGTAAAAAGTAGTTTCAAACTCCCTTTTTCCTAAAACCAGTGGTTTAACATTAACGTCTTTCTTGCATTTCCTTGGCAGATTCTTTTGATTATTGCTTCAGTTATTGGAATCATTGTCTATAGGCTCTCAGTTTTCCTGGCATTTTCTGCAACGTTGTCACAGCACATTAGTGGAACAGACGCAATCCGCAAGTACCTGACTCCACAGACAGCCACTTCAGTAACTGCTTCACTCATCAGCTTTGTAGTCATTATGGTTCTCAACATTATCTATGAAAAAGTGGCAATCCTGATTACTGACTTCGGTATGCTACTGCTGTTCCTCAGATAGAAACTTGGGGTAAAACAACAACAAAAATAGCATTTATATGTGCAATAAGAATTCAGTAGATGAACACCTGTGCCACATGTTTCAAGATCTTCCAATCCTGAAATCACATGATACCATCTAGAAATTTACAGATTTTCTCAATATCATAGGAATATGATAATGACCTCTTTGCCTGAAAAGTCCTTGTATAGGCAGCATGAAAGATCAATTGTTTACAGTATTATGCTTGTGAAACAGACAAAGCAAGGAAAATTGCTGTAATAACCAAGCTTTATGAAAACAGATCAGTAACGCATAACACATTCAATTATATTAGCTTTTGTTTATGGGGAAAATAGCTATTTTCTTGGGAATAAATGAAATAAGGTCACTGTTCCAAAGCTAGATACCATTCCCATGTCATTAAATAGATAAACAGTCACAAATATTATTATTCTTTATATCCAGGCTATCAACATTAAAGTAGCTATGTGGAGTAGTGCAGCATTTTAATATAGTTTCATTTAATACTGTTTCATCAGTTCAGAATGTTACATTTGCATCTTTCCTGAGTATGTCGGATTTGGGTGGTTTTTTTTCACTGAGTTATTGGCGTTTCTGCTTGTTCTTTTTCTCTACCGTCAGAGAACAAGTTCTTTCCTTATTACAACCCATATAGTTTTAGAATTAGCATAATGGTTACAGTATACTTGGGGATTATGTACAATCTAATTTATAATGCTCTCAGTCATATTAAGGCATATAGGGCGTATGCATCTCCAGCTGAGGCTCTAAGGCAGTTTGTAGGTTACTTGTAGGTTGGCTTTTGTTTTTATTTTATCTTTTTTAATTGCAGAGCTTCCAAGGACACAAACTGATTATGAAAACAGTCTGACCACAAAGATGTTCTTGTTTCAATTTGTCAACTACTATTCTTCATGCTTCTACATAGCCTTCTTTAAGGGCAAATTTGTAGGCCACCCTGGAAATCCAGTTTATTGGCTAGGAAAGTATCGCAATGAAGAGGTAAGAGTGCATGGTATTGTTTGTTTTTAAACAGCAGGAGCCATTAGTCCAGGCATTCTGCTGCAGTTAGGATTGTATAACATACTTGTACGTTATTTAACATGAGGGTTCAAAAAGTGACTGCCTCCTAAGCCAATTGCCTCCTTCGTTAGCCCTAATATTAAAAGAACATGACATGAGACCAGTTGGGCTTAGAAATATATTGTACGTACCCAGACAAACTCATCTTCCCGTGGTTCAACAATCTGTGAACTGGCTCACAGAAAGAGAAGAACATGAGCAGAAGCATTCCTATTCTGTTGGGTGACACTCGCCTGGTGTCAGCACAGTACAGATCTGCATGACTTCACCTGGTATTTCTGTCTTTCACTACTGACCCGTCAACCTGTCATATGTGACTATATGTGGACTAGAATTGGCTTTTGCATACCTTCCTAGAAAGCTTTGGCTAAATAGTCTTCTTGTATTGCTTTAAGAAATGTTACCATAATAAACCAGGAATGCACTATTTCAAATGCTTCATTCATGCCTGAAAAGATACCCAGCTTCACAAATGTCTCCTGTCTCTCCCAACCTTCAGTGTGATCCAGGTGGATGTCTCCTTGAGCTCACAACCCAGCTTGCCATCATAGTAGGAGGTAAAGCAATCTGGAACAACATTCAAGAAGTGCTTCTTCCGTAAGTTCAAACTATTAAGTAATCTGCTCTTTCATATTTGAAAGATAATGGTTTTGCTTGATGTGTTCAGGCATTTGGTCACTAAATTTGATAGGTGTGTATTGTATTCTAAACGAACAAGCCTAGTCTTTTGGGGCCTTTTTAGACAGTATGTGTGTTTTTGGTCTGGTAGCTCTGAGCTCCTGTGTCTGTCGTTCTGGCTCATCAGAGATGCTTTCCTCCTCTGCAAGTCAGACTCAATGTGTTTCAGGTTGGATATTTAAAACTGAGGTAGTAGAAGTTCTGAAAAGATTAAAGATTGTTGTTTAATGTTGAGTGGAATGATACATTGTTATATATTGGGCTTTCAGAAGTCATGCATAAGTTACTATTTTAACTCGTTTAGTTTTGCAGTTATATTTGACATTCATAGTGCCTATATTCTCTCTTTCAGCAAGGCAGGTCTCTGGAAGGTCATGTTTTAATGTAAAAAGTAAGCAAAGTGCTAACCACAAATGCCTTCCCTTTAATTTAGGTTAAGATGCTATCCAGGACTAATTTCCTTCTCCTAGAACCTATATTATGCTGATCAGCGGCTGTTAATGTTGCTTGGAGTAGGGAACTCCCAGTTTGCTCACACCCTCCTGAATGCCATAAGCACCAGCCCACAGCATTGTATTCCCTTTGACTGTGGTTCTTCCAAACCCACAGACTGTGCTCCTTTGCTGCATAGTGACCCCACTTCAAAGCATGCCATAAATACTGTTAGGGTTGAAGCTAAGGTGCTTTGCTGGCATAGAGTTCCTCCAGACCCCAATGCTCCATATATGCTGCTGCTTGCAGAATGGACCTTTAGACCCATCCTTCTTTTCAACATCTTTTACCTCAGGAAGACTCCCTAGACTGAGCATGCTTGCAGATGTCAGCTCCAGCCACAGAAAGAGACTCTCCTTCTGTGTACAGGAAATAACTTTATCTGACCAGAAGTTTTAATTCACTTCCTAGGGTAACACTTAGATGTTGAAATGCTGAGTATCGCATCTAGATCTGGTTCTTCTTATGTTGCGTCTCTGCAAGTATAAAGAGAACTCTTTTGTGTTTTTCTCTGTTGATAGACATTTGCTCCCACCCCCTTTTTTTAGTATGGTTATTTGACTGCTGAAAATGGCTACAGCCAGTTTATCAGTTTTCTTAAATTCTCATACAAGCCTTTCAGATGGGAAGATCAGACTCACCTCAATCCCTGGGAAGGTGAAGGAGCAGCTAGTCCTGGAAACCATTTCCAGGTACATGAAGGACGCAGAAGTCATTAGTAGTCAGAAGTCATGGGTGACCAACCTGCTAACCTTCTGTGATGAAATGACTGGCTCACTAGATGAAGAGAGAGCAGTGGATATTGTTTATGTGGTCTTCAGTAAAGCCATTAACGTTTTCTTCTATAAAAGCCTCATAGAGAAGATACTGAAGTATGGACTGCATGAGCAGAGAGTGAGGTGGACTGAAGACTGGCTGAATGGCCTGTCCCAGAAGGTGATGGTCAGTGTCATGAAGTCTAGTTGGAGGCTAGTCATTAGAGGTGTCATCCATGGATCACTATTGGGTCCTGCCCTGTTTAACATCTTCTTTAATGATCTGGATGAGGAGATAGAGTGCACCCTCAGCAAGTTTGTTGACGCGAAACTGTTAAGTCAGATGGTTGTGCTACCACCCAGTGGAACCTTCACAGACTGGAGAAACGAGCTGAGAAAGAACTTCATGAAATTCAGCAGGGGAATGCAAAGTCCTCACCTGGGGAAGAACAACCCCATGCTGGGGACCATTCAGCTGGAAAGCAGCTCGTCACAAAAGGACCAGGGGTCCTGATGGACACCAAACTGATCACAAGCCAGCAATGTGTCCTTATGGCAAAAAAGTTAATGGTATCTTCAGTGTTGCCAGCAGGTTGAGGGAGGTATACTCAGCACTGCCCACACATGGGGTGATGGGCTCAGTTCTGGGTCTCCCAGTACAGGAGAGACATGGACACACTGAAGTCCAGCAAAGGAGGCACATGGATGAATAGGGGACTGGAGCATCTGTGAGTAGAGGCTGAGAGAGCTGGGACTGTTCAGCCTGGAGAAGAGAAGGCTCAGGGGGATCCCATCAGTATGCACAAATGCCTGAAGGGTGAAAGTAAAGAAGAGAGGGTAGACTAATCTCAGTGACCAATGCCCAGTGAAAGGACCAAAGGCAATGGGCACAAACTGAAAAACAGGAGGTTCCCTCTGAATATCAGAAAACACCTTTTAGCTGTGAGGGGACTGAGCACTGCCACAGGTTGGCCAGGGAGGTCATGGAGGCTCCATCACTGGTGATATTAAAAAGGCATCTTGACACAGTCCTGGGCAACCAGCTCCGGGTGGCCCTGCCTGTGCAAGGAGGGGTTGGACCAAATGACCTGCAGAGGACACTTTCAACCTCAACCATTCTGTGATTCTGCAAATTTTGTGATCAGAAGGAATTCATCTGTCTAACCACAGGCCTACATTTAACTTGACTGTTTGTTACCTTGAATTTCATACAGTCATTCACCTGTACGACATATAAGCCACAGTGATTCTGATATATTTCCCTTTTATGTTTATTTATGGTTGTAAATAACTGCTTTCAGGATAAGGCAATGGAAGATTATACTCATGATTGAAGGGCTTTCAGTAATTCAAGAACATAACTAAATCCACTGTTCAAAGCTATAACGGCACAAATGTCAATTTTTTCCATTTACTGAACTTTTTTAGGTTATTTTACCAATGTTAGTGGTCTTTTTCTCCCTGGCTGATAGTTGGGTTAAGAATCTAATCGGAAGATACTGTGCAGCTGCTAGATCAGAAAAAGTCATTCCACGCTGGGAACATGACTACCACCTGCAACCCATTGGAAAACTTGGACTGTTTTATGAGTATCTTGAAATGGGTAAGTAGCAGTTTAGTTCAGATTCGCTACCACTGCTGGGCACAAACATACTTCAAAGAGAATCTTCATACAAGCAACGCTTATTAAATGCGTAGAATAGAATCATAGAATAGTTAGGGTTGGAAAGGACCTTAAGATCATCTAGTTCCAACCCCCCTGCCATGGGCAGGAAGAAATGCCTCATGCATAGGCAGAGGAAACATCAATGTTTTCCCAGATAAATTTTGGTGGTCCATTACAGGTAGTTTTTCATGTTTTTATTAAACAGCTAAGCCTTAACCCAATTTACAATTAGGAAACAGCACATGGTTGTACAAGGAGGAATATTGCCGCTTGTTTGCCCCATCCTCTGAGAAATGCATTCAGAAGGCAGATCACTGCCATGTTCGGGTGTTGTATGCAGAGCTGTGTGTCACACTGCTCTGCTTGGGGTCTGCAGTCACCAGGACTTGTCACTGGTCTCCTGGGAGCTGGCAGATCTCTGGTTTTTTGCCACCATCTCCTCTGTGACAGCACTGCCAGCATGTTTGTTGCAGAACCTGGACACCAATAAGATGATTGTTAGTTCAGGCTTTCCAGCATAGCACTGAGACAGTCATTAGATTTCCAGGTCTTTGTGATGAAGACATAAGAAAGAAACGGATGTTTAAATACCCAGAATAGTTCCTCTTGATGTGTTGTGACTCGTAACGATTTCCTGTCCCCTTCACCTAGCAGGTTTTTCAGTATTGTTGTGCTTTTATATTGTCATACAGAGGATTCACTAGGAACCAAGCTACTCTTTATTGTATCTCTCTCTCCCACATGTATACATACATGGTCATACATGCTTATCTCCACCAAGTGAAAGCCTCATTGATGTGTGTAACCTCTCCCTTTGACAGTTATACAGTTTGGCTTTGTCACTCTGTTTGTGGCATCGTTCCCCCTGGCTCCTCTTCTGGCCCTTATTAACAACATGTTGGAAATCCGGTTGGATGCGTGGAAGTTGACAACCCAGTTCAGGCGCATGGTTCCACAGAAGGCACAAGACATCGGTGCCTGGCAGCCTATCATGCAAGGCATAGCCATTCTAGCTGTAGTCACCAATGTAAGTACAGTACCAACAATTGCAAAAGGCAAAATGTCTTCACTGCAGGTGTTACACCCAAATGTGGGAATGCCACATGTGGCAATGTAGCTCTTAAATGATCCTAAATGAATTATGAGCATCAGTGTCTTAAGACTTCAGCCCCTGTGAAATAGTGACTTTCCAGATGTTTTGGTAACAAAATGTGAATACTGTCTATAATATTATATCTAAAGAAAAGAAATTCTATTTAGAGTTGCTAAAGTCTTCAGAAAAATCTGTTACATATGAAGACTGTAGCCCATCTTTCCTAAAATTGTAGTGAGTACTGTGAAGATCTTTTTGGACTACTGCTAAATGCATGAGGTTTGAAAAAAAAACAGGTTGAAGTTTAGCTAAATTATAATTGATTGTTTTTTCTAATTGTTACAATTCTCATGGTCAATGCCTTCATATTTGAATTTGGCTTTAAGTAATTTTGCACTTAAAACAGAAATTCAGCTTCTTTCTTGTATACTTAAATATACAATGTGGGCTCAAAATTGCAGCACTAACATTTTCAGGTCAGAATGATGAGAGTTTGAAAACTAATGTTTTTCAGTTGGATTTAAAATTAGTTTTAAAAGTTTATTTAAAATATTTAGAATTTAGTTTTTATGTCTAACAATGACATTCAGACCTTTCAAATTTCCCATACCTTGAATTTACCAAGATCTTATACATAGCCTTCATTGTGGAGAGAAAAAGAATCCATAGGATTTTACCACTGTGCATTATTTGATTGCTTATTCATAAGCAGTAGCTAATACATACTGTCTTTCAAAAGATTCTCACTGCTGGCCATTCTAAAAGAGCAGTGACCACTGGTTACCCCTGCAGGGACAGTAACACCACAGACTGGCAATGGTTAATAGCCTTTTTCAACAAGATCACCATTTTCTACTGTTAACGATGAGATTAGGGATTCCTTCTCACACACTTAGATTGTCACTTCCTCCAGGTCCTCGTCCTTGCATTAACATACCTTACTGTAGTCAGTAGGAGCTTTTAGGGAAAGTAGTTGAGTCTGAAGACAAACGTTCATCTTATCCCAAGTTTCCACAGGAAGTTCATGCTGTTTGGAGAATGGTGGTCTTTGGGAAGGAAGATGGAGCTGAGCACTCTCCTGTAGATATTAACTCAATTAGGGAGCTTATTTCAAGTAAAAGAGTAATTCAAATTTCAGTAAGGGCATGAACTTGTATTCCTGTATCTCAGGCACCTTCTATGGTCATTAGGTTCTTGGCTAGTGTGGTGTCTCAATCCCAAGGGTTCTGCCTTATGGAGGTCATATAGGGATAAATATGTGCACCTCCTTTTTCCCACACCCAGATGAGTGTCCCTACACATTCCTCTCACTTCCCCTTCTTCATTTTAAAAAGTTTGTTTTACCCCTGGAAAGATGAGGCTACATTTGAAGAATGGACAGATGAGCTTCCATGACCTGACTGTCTATTGGGTTATCATCTTCTCAGTAGTTGGTTTTCATTATTCTGGGGGATGGGGGTGCTGCCATATAGAAACAGGAGGCCAGGGTGGATGTCAGTGATTAGGAAAATTTTCTGTCAGCCTCAGCTACCAGATGTACTTTCAGGTATTTGAAGGTCTACCAGAATAGCCATTATTCATGCGCAGAACTTTATTTTGCCCTGTAGCAATTCAAGAGGTACAGCAAACATAGCTAGGATGTAGAGAGGAGACTTGGGAGGGCATAAAGGCAGAGAATTAAGCACAGAGAAATGTCAGAAGAAAAAAACAGAACTTGAGGATGAAAAATTTACAAGAGAATCTGGGAGCAGACAACAACCTGGAGCATATGCTCCATCAGTTTCACACTGCTCTGCAGAGGCAAGTCGAACATAAATCCAGCTGTTCCACAGACATGTGAACATCCAGGGCCTGGTAGTAAATCCGGTGTTAAAATGATATAAAATAATTTTTTAACGTTGCAACTTTGGTAACACGTGTTCAGATCATCAGAAACGTCAGGTGGAGCCAGGGGTTCTTTGGGGCTCTTTTGGTTTACTGCTTGTGCAAAAAAATTGTTAATGATAACTCTCCTAGCAAACGATGCAAATCCCAGCAGATTCCCATGCAAATTCACAGATGCAGCACAGCTTCCTCTAGCATAGCTAGAAGTAGAGGCAATATTGGTGCATCAATAACCTAGTTTGAACTGTGCAGCTAGAAAACTTGCAAAATAAAAGGTAAAAAAAGTTCCTGGTGCCCTGGAAGAAAAAGCAAGTATGTTGTGCCATTGGATAACTTAGATGTCTTTCCTAAACAATCCAGCTGGATGTTGTAATACCACTATGAAATAAGCTGCATATACATAGAATCATAGAATCATAGAATAGTTAGGGTTGGAAAGGATCTTAAGATCATCCAGTTCCAACCCCCCTGCCATGGGCAGGGACACCTCACACTAAACCATATCACCCAAGGCCTCGTCCAGCCTGGTCTTGAGCACTGCCAGGGATGGAGCATTCACAACCTCCCTGGGCAACCCATTCCAGTGCCTCACCACTCTAACAGGAAAGAATTTCCTCCTTATATCCAATCTAAACTTCCCGTTTCAGTTTGAACCCGTTATCCCTTGTCCTGTCACTACAGTCCCTAATGAAGAGTACCTCCCCAGCATCCCTATAGGTCCCCTTCAGATACTGGAAGGCTGCTATGAGGTCTTAAAATTACTTTAACATATTGTTATAAGTACCTTAGACATTGTCTTTGTGATACTCAGGATAATGTTAAAGAGGCTTTGGTGACCTCACAGTGACTCAGACATGCCTACACTCAGACATGCCTAGGCTTCTGTCAGGAATGTACTCATGCCGTGCTTTCTGCAGACGAATGACCCAGCAGTAGGTGTTTATCACTACCCAGTCATGGCCCACCTGAGGCTAATCTGAGCTTTGCAACTTTTTTTCTCTCCAAATTCCTCCTTACATGCTACACCCTCAAGGCATCACTAAAAACATGGAGTCCTCGATGTGCGAAAGTGTATTTACATCTTGGTTTTACTCTCTGTCCTTGACAGGCACTCAGCCCCAGTGTTCACATGACTCAACTGCAGGCATGTTTCTTTCAGATTCACCCTTTTTGGAGATGTCAGATGCTAGGTATAGCCAATGTCAGTGTGAATGCAGTGCATGTGCCACTGGCTTCAGCGGGCTGTTGGCGTGCAAGGGGCACAGCACCAGTGACTGTCACGTTCAAAAGACCCTGCTGCAGGAGTTGCAAGGATCTCAAAAAGATCTGTATTTCTTGCTGATGAAGTATGGGCTATAAAGCAAATGCTGGAAGCGGTTTTATTCTTTTATGTATGCTTTTTTCTTGTTTGACATCTAATATCTACTATAGTTCATCAGTCTTTACCATCCCTGCCTTGATTTTTCCTTCACAGAAAGTGTTTCTTCTTTTCTATGTAACTTGTTATAGCTGATTAGAATTCAGGTAGCGTATCATTTTTCCCCCCATACATTACCTTTCCAACACCCACTCGTGACGTGTAAGCAACTTTTGCACAAAACTATCAGTTTTCAGACTTGCTGCTCAGTCACCGGACTTGGTATTGCATGATACCAAAGCATCTGTTGTTGATTTGAAGACTGATTTTAATTAGTTACGGTATAAATGGAAAACTGTGTGCAGTAACGCTTGGGAAGTAGAGAATGTGCTATTTGTTTGTAGCTCTCCAGTGCAATACTCTGAAATGCAGCCCATAATTCAGGAGGAAAAATTCTTTCCCTTTGAGAGGACGCTGTAGGATTAGCTTTCATATTTCTGTCCTTGCAGCTCTCTGGAGCACATCTGGAGATCGTTCTGGGAGAGGGAGGAGAGTGAGACAGGGTTCAGATTTAAGATGATGAGAGACCTAGGGCCCTGCAAAAAAACCTCAGTAAGAGCAAATATTAAGTTGTGTAAATACCATATTTCAGCATCTTTCTAAATGATACAAAGCAGCAGCATCAAACTTCTTTGATCCAAAAAGAGAAGGGATTTTTTTTTGCCTTACTGTTCATTTGCTACTAGTTCATTTATGGTCTGACTGGATGAGCTAATGAACAGAAAGAAATTATGTTTAAATAAAACTTTTTATGCTTGTACTTCAGTTAAAAACAGAGTAATTTAGGTGTGAGGTCGTCTCCCTGCAACTGCAAGACACAGTAATATATATTTCTTGTCAGCCAAAAACACCTACTCTACATGTAAATATAAACAACACATAATTTTCACTTCACAGTGGCATGTAAAAACAGTTAAAAACAGTTTTAAAACTTAAAAACAGTTTTTGAGAGTACATGCCAACTACATTTGATTTAAGCTCGAGTAAAGCACAGAAAAACCTCTTACCCTTGAGAATTTTAAATGAGTTTATTTTAGTCTTAGGACACCTCTCTTTTTTTCTCTCATCAGCCAAATTAACTTCTTCTCCACTGAACTCAATTATAACAATTTTCTGGAGAACCAGATGTAGAGCTTGGACAGAATCACAGAATGGTTGGTGTTGGAATGGACCTCTGGGGATCATCCAGTCCAACCCCCCTGGCAATGCAGGGCCACCTAGAGCAGGTTACACAGGAATATGTCCAGGTGGGTTCGGAATGTCCCCGGAGAAGGAGGCTCCACAGCCTCCCTGGGCAGCCTGTTCCAGTGCTCTGCCACCCTCAGTGTAAAGAAGAACATGAAGAAGGTTTTCCTCGTACTCAGGTGCAATCTCCTGTTCTCCAGGTTGTTCCTATTGCCCCTTACCCTGGGCACCACTGAAAAGAGTCTGGCCCCACCTCACTGTCCACTCATCTAACCCACACTTTTTGACCACTTTGATGACCATGGTCTTAAAGTATTGTTTCTGCAACTTTTATCTTAACAAGAGTTTAGCTTCTCAGGTACTGCAAAGTAAGCTAATTCAAAAGGCAAGACATTAGGATAGCATTCATCACTTGGCAGTGGTGCTACCTGAGGTGGGGTGGATCTTGCACCTTTTTCAACTCCCTGCCCTTTCCTTTCCCTGTGTCTTCCCCTTGTTGTTGTCTCTTGTGTTGTGCTGGTACTAGCCCTTTGACAGACATTAACCAGCTCTTATGCTACTATTATCACTTAACTTGTTCCCTTCCTCTGTCTCATGCCCTTCCAATGGCTTTTTTCTGCACCTTTTAGGCATCTCTACCTAAGCCTCACCACCCCCCCCCCCTTTCTGCCTTCACACCTGTCTCTTCCATGTCTTTGCTCTGGTTCTTCCCATCCATGTTGTTAGATGTTTTTTGACATTTTAATGGGCTAAAGGCTTCTCTTTCAGCCCTGGAGTGCAGCTTCACACTCCTCCCTAGGTGCTGGGCACCCAGATGTTGATATGAGTTGGCGGGGCAGCCTCTTGCTAGGCACTCAGCTGCAGATCTTGCCAGTGGAAAGTCTTTCTCACAGGGAAACCTTTTGAATTTGCAGTAGCGGAGGAGGAGATTGGATTAAACATAATTAACCTGTCCTCCAGAATAGGATGTTTTGGGAAGTTCATGAGTTTAGAAAAGGCTTCCAAACAAACCCACGGATCCAATTTCCTACCCAGTTTGTGACCAGCGGGCTGAGTAGGACAGGGACTCTCCTGGGAACAAGATAAAAACAAATGGTCACGTCATATGTAAAACAGCACTATGCAGCTGCCACTGGAGAAAAAATTAGCTTGGCATCAACAACACTTTCCACATGTAGTGACATTGAAACTTATGAGGCAACAACTGCCAAGATGAATTGGGCTGGCTAGCACGTCAGAAAGAGTGGAACGTTACTAGGGTCAAAGATGGTTCAGCTATGTATATAATTTATTTAATTCCTTCACGCAGACCTCAGGGTTCCTGGTGAAACTGATTTTACATTACTGAAGGACTCTTCCTTTGTTTCCACGAGTTTCATCAGGCAGGATTTCTTTAAGCATCTCACAAGCACATCTGATAGTAAGCATGTTTGCTGGAGGTTACCTTGGAGTAGTTTAAGGTGAGTTTGGCTGCTGACCTCCACTGCATGCTCATGAGGAAAAAATGGATTGCAGTGTAACTTTTCTAAGGCATCCAGCAGAGCTAGCGTAATCTAAAATCTGTACAGAGTGCACATTCCAGAAACAGAGTGTTTTATGCCCATGAGTAACTATGTGCTCATTTACGGAGGGAACCACTGGAAAAGTACGTATTTTCTATTAAGGCTTATTTCTTAAACGCTGCTCTGCTTTTTTGTCTTCTTTTTTTTTCTGAAATGCAGGCTATGATCATTGCTTTTACGTCTGATATGATTCCTCGCCTGGTTTATTACTGGTCCTTTTCAGTCCCTCCTTATGGAAGTCACAGCAGTCACACTATGAAAGGGTATATAAACAGTACACTTTCTGTCTTCAATATATCAGACTTCAAGAATGCAAGCAAGCCATTTTCCCCATGGTTTGTAAACCAAACATGCAGGCAAGTGTCAAATAACCATTCTTTTCCAATAACAAAAATAAATATAATTGTTTAATATCTAAATCATCTAGTTCAGTTAACGATACCTGGTGAGAAATGTTAAAACACAGTAAAAGCCAGCATATTCTGAATGGAAGAACTGACTGAAAGTATTCACCCGTAAGTTTGTGCTACTCAGAAGATTCTGACTTTTATTTTGGCTTTCTCATAATTGATAGTCTTAAAAAAAATAAAAAGGGCACTTTAAAAATTTTCTAATGATTTCTTAATATAGTGGCAAAAAAAAAAGATGTTTCAGCCAAATATAACTTACTCTGCAGATAGGATTTTACCCATTACTGTAGTTAACGTGCAACTGTTCCTGGATGCGTTAAGCAGGGACATGTCTTGCTCCATCCTCTGGCCACAGTGCCTTACTGCAGTGATTCCTGAAAATAGTTCCTGACATTCCTGCATTGCTTTCAGATACCGGGATCTCCGCTACCCTCCTGGTCATCAGCACCAGTATGAGCATAACATATACTACTGGCATGTCATTGCAGCCAAGCTGGCATTCGTCATTGTCATGGAGGTAGGAGTATGAGATTTTGAGCATTACTTACTTACCCGAACTTCTCTTCCCTCCATGCAGAAAATCCTTCAAAGACATTCTGTCCAGGCACAGCTATCAGAGCTGGTGATAAGTGCTAACATGGGCAAGAGCTTGGGAGATGTAAATTAAGTGTAGCACCATTAGAAAAAGAGGTCTGTGAAGTCATTAGCTCAGCTGAGGATTGCCCCACATGTTTGCAGGTTCTTTTCTCAAGAATTGTTAAATTATTTTTAGCATCAGAAATAGAAGGGGCAGTTACACCAAAAATATTTTCACATATACTTAGACAAGTTTGTGCACAGCCTCATGAATGCATCTACATAATACATATTCACTAGCAGAGTGAAACTGATAAAGATGGTCAGTGCAAGAGGTGAGTCTCCAGGTGAGCATCAAAAAGCAATTGCTCATTCCTCTGGAGCTACATCTGGGTTTATGAAAGATGGGAGTCAGTCCGAGGTGAAGGGAGGGGAATATAGGGCCTGATCTAGGGACTATCAACATCATCAGAAACATGCAACTGGTTAGATCAGAATTCTTGTGGCAGAGAAAAGTCCATTGCCCAGAATCATTTGAACAAGCCTAAAACAAATTGAAAAGAAATTGTAACCAGTATCATCATGGAGGGGAGAAGCACTGGGTACCCACGGTTCCCCCAAAGCAGGCAGAGAAGTCCTTGTTAAAATCAGGATTAGAAAATCAGAAATTCTTGTTTATCAGACAATTATTCTATTCATTAGTCGTATCTGCTTTTTAAGACACTGTTTCAGTATGATGAAAATAAAACAGAACCAGCTTAGAGTCTTAAGAGATAATGTTACGTTTTATTCTTCATAATAATAATAATAATGTCCTGTTCAGCCTGACTGACATGTTTTCATTTTCACCTTTCCCAGCATGTCATATACTTTGTGAAGTTCATTATTTCATACTTAATTCCGGATGTATCACAAAAGACCAAGAGCCAGGTCAAACGAGAGAAGTACCTAACACAGAAACTCTTGCATGAGAACGATCTCAAAATTGTGAAGAAAACCATGGGCAAAATAGCCGACAAAATTATCCAAGGAGTTGACAGCACTTTCCGACCTAAAGCTGACTAAGTACTTTTTTATATGGAATAACAGTATTTAGCCAACTAATACCTGTCCAAGTATTACCAATCGCTAACCAAACACTTTGGATTAATTCCCTTTACTAAGCATTGTTTCTTGCAGCTGTTACCTGCTCATTTACCTCTTGCCCTTGGACAAAAGCAACCACTGCGACTCAGAGAAGAGTTACCAATTTTTTAAACAGCTTTAGTAGGACATACTTTTTTAACATGTGAAGATAAAAATTGTCTATCATCTCACGACGATGAACATTAATTCTGAAATACATAGAGTGCTTTCCACTTTAGGCAAGAGCTATTAGATCTCTCCTTTTGACTTGAATAAAACCTTAAGAGCAAGAAAGATTTGTTGTAAGAATAACATCATGCCTTTTGAAAGAGTTGTGATTGCTTGCTAATGCAGACCCCAACTATAAAATGAAGAGAAAAAGACAAAACATGAAGGAAAAAGAAGGAAAATACAACTCAAAATCATGTTGTTAAGCCATTGAAATTGACATACTAAGCGCTGTTGTGTGCTACACTGAATTAGCTATGCATACTGAGACTTAAATGGATAACAAGATATTTCAATTAATCATGGACTTGGATCACAAGAAGCAGCAGGACTGTAAGCCCATCCTGTTCATCAATCTGTCTGTAAACAGGAGAATTGCCTTTAAAATCAATGCACACAAACTGACTTTACAGCACTCCAAGTGAGTAGAAAACTCAGGCGTTTTATCTTTCCTTAGTCAATGTACTTTCATTAGTTCACTTGCCCATTCTGCTCTCAATGACCACAGCCTTGAAGGTCTCCTACTTGTAACAGTAATGGGTGTTAAGCTCCTAACAGTAATGAGTGTTAAAAGTCTTTTCACGTAGTAAATCAATATTTGTGGAGGGCTGTCTTTTGTGTTTCTCCCATACTGTGCCTTTCCTTGAGATTTTGACACAGGAAGAATGCGCAGCTGGACTTGTTGGGGTACAACATTGCATGATAAAGTGAATTCTGACAAGACCATGAATCTATTGAAACTCAAGATTGGAATGAACCATTTAATATGCCTTAACCATGTTATGAAGCTTTAAATAACGAGGAAGGATGTTAGAGGTGTGGATGCAAGTGCTCGAGCCATCAATCATCTTCAAATTAGGCTGCAGATCTGCTTGGCTATTTTGGCTCCAGTTGCAAACTGGGAGATAGGGAATTATAGATTAGGCATATATGGAGAGCTCTGCTTTGTGTCTGCACCAGTGATATTCCAGGTTATCATTTGCTTTCTCTTTTAACAGCTTTAGTGGACCAATTTCTGAAATCGTGAAAATCAGAATCTTGTTAAAAAAGCAAAACTGTGCCCGTACTCTGTAAACCAGGTGATTGCTATTGCATTTGTAATTTTGTACTCTTCTTAAATGTAATAGATATGCAGAACTTTTAGTCAGATTATTCATATAGCTTTTTATATGTTAAGAAGTTCATTTGCAGAAACTAAGTAGCATTTATAAGCATTTTTGTTCCATTAATAATGAGAAGGAATGATACATCTGAATTTTGTAGCAGAACTTCCAGATACTGACTGCTGTGTACCTCAAGTATACCCTTTGAATCAGAATAATTTAGATTGGAAAAGAACTTTAAGATCATCAGTTCCAACCAGTAACTAGCACTGCCAAGTCCACCACTACACCATGTCCCTAAGCACCACATACACAGGTCTTTTAAATAACCTCCAGGGATGGTGACTCGGGCATTTCCCTGAGCAGCCTGTTCCAGTGATTGACAACCCTTTCAGTGAAGAAATTTTTCTAATATCCAATCTAAACCTCCCGTGGTGCAATTTGAGGCTGTTTCCTCTTGTCCCATCACTTGTGACTTGGAAGAAGAGACCAACACCCACCTTAGCACAACTTCCTGTCAGGTAGTTGTAGCCAAGGACAAGGTCTCCCCTGAGCATCCTTCTCTTCAGGCTGAAAACCCCAATTCCTTCAGCTGCTCCTCATAAGACTTTTGCTCTAGACCCTTCACCAGCTTCCTTGCTCTTCTTTGGACACTCTCCAGCACCTCAATAGCTCTCTTGTACTGAGGGACCCAAAACTGAAGTGCAGCCTCATCAGTGCTGAGTACAGGGGGAGAATCACTTCTCTAGTCCTGCTTCCCATGCTATTTCTGATACAAGCCAAGATGTTACTGACTTTCCTAGCCACCTGGGCACACTGCTGGCTCATATTCAGCCAGCTGTTGCACAATACGCTTCCCACCATCAACAGGATTTAACTCCATTCACCACCACTCTTTGGACCCTGCCATCCAGCCACTTTTTTACCCAGCAGAGTACACCTGTCCAAGCTATGAGCAGCCAGTTTCTCCAGGAGAATGCTGTGGGAAATGGTGTCAAAGTCGTTACTGAAATCTAGGTATGTGGGTCACCTTGTCATAGGAGGAGATCATGTTAGTCAAGCAGGACCTGCCATTCATAAACCCATGCTGACTGGACCTGATCACCTGGGTGTCTTGCACATGCTGCGTGATGGCACTCAAGATGATCTGCCCCATAACCTCCTCCAGCACTAAGGTCCCCAGATCCTCCGTTCAGCCCTGAAGACATCCTTGTAGACCTCCTGATCAGTCTGCACCTCCTTCCAAAAGTCATAAACTCCTTTTTGTCCTGAGTTCCAGCCAGAGCTCTCTGTTCAGCCAGGCCAGTCTTCATCCCTGCCAGCCCACGTCTCAGCACATGGGGATGGGCTGCTCCTGTGCCTTGAAGATTTCCTTCTTGCAGAATGTCCAGCCTTCCTGGACTCCTGTGCCCTTCAGGCCTCCTCCCGAGGGGCTCTATCAACCAGGCTCCTAAACAGCCAAGGAAGTCTGGAAGACCTCTGGAGGTCTGAGGTAGCAGTTCTGCTGAATCCCCTCCTTGCTTCTCTGGCAACATTTAAACCAGAAGAGGTAGCACAAGAGGGCGGCCTTTCAGCAGCCATGGTACACAGACTTCCACTCAGCAAGACTTTGCATGATTACATGGAAGAATGTGAGAGGAAAGCTTGGTTCAAAATCAGGGAAAGATGAAGGAAACTCACATAGGTTCCAGAGAACCACTTGCATTTCTGACATTGAAGGACTGAAGCTTACTTATTATAATGCCCAAAAAACTTTGTGTAGGTACCAGCTGAAGACAAAAAAGAAGATGAAGGACAGAAAAATAAGATAGACCATCACAATAAAGGGCAGTCAACCAGAGAAGCAATGGGACCAGTGCTTCTTTGCACAGGGGACTCTACCCTTTACAATTTGTTTTGATTTTGTCAAAATCATGACAAGTCTTTAATTCACCAGGAAATTGGGCAGATGGACAAACACTCAGAAGATTCTAAACAAGACAGCATTTCTTATCAAAATACATCTTCTCAACACTGATTTGACCTTTCCCCAGATCACAAGAGGTTGGGGTTGGAAGGGACCTCGGAGGTCATCTGGTCCAACCTCCCTGCTCAAGCAGGGCCATGTAGAGCAGGCTACCCACATGTCCAGATGGCTTTTGAACATCTCCAAGGATGAAAACTTCATAGCTTCCCTGGGCAACCTGCTCAAGTCATCTTCACAGTGAAAAAGTGTTTCTTCATATTCAGAGGGAGCGTCCTGTGTTTGTGCACATTGCCTCTGGTCCCGTCACTGCACAATATACCAAACTTTGGTTTAAAACAAACCTCTGTCAAAAAAAAACCTGTTTCATAATACCCTTTTATAGTGAAGTACTCAGGGCTTCCCTGGGCAAACTTGACTTGGAGCCTTGATTTTTATCTTTGAGCTGGCCCTCCACCATTTGCACTTGTGTTCAGCTGAGAGATAACATTTTCTTACCCCCATCAGTGATCGAAACCTCAATGTGCCTTAAATACCTTTCCAGGTATTGCTGCTTTTCAGGTATTTGCTGGACGGGCAAGGAAGCATCCTGTGGTAAAGGGGGGAAAAATGCACGACTATTTCAAGTACTTATTAGTCTTAAGAAAGTATTAATTGCCCTCTTTGAGAGGTAAAGAGAGTGAGAAATGCATTGAGTGCCTTGCCTGGGGTCACACTGTGAGCCTAATTTTCAGGACTGCCTGGTCTTCCAGTAATTATTCCTGTGGCCTCTCACGTTCCCTTCTTTTAAATCAGTTGGAGCATTTCCTAAAGGGGGAGTTAGCTCTCAGTTTATATTGAGAGTTTACATCCCTGCCTTTAAAATATGAGATTAAAAACATGCTACATCTGCGAAGTGTGATCTATGACTTGGGCTCCTCCCATCATAAAATCATAATCAGTTTTGGATGTGTTTCCACGTTACCACCTTTGTTCAGAGCAAGAGTGTGCTTCTGAAACTAGTCTTCCACTTGTCCCACTTTCTGGGCAGTGCTTCCCACCACAGACTGGGCTCCAGGCACGTGGGCTGAATTGCTCTTGGTTCAAATTGAACCAGAAGGCAGGCTGTAGATATGCACTTAGGGGTCTCTGACAGGTACTTAGTCTGAAGAGCTGAAACCAGAGCTAGGCTGAAGAGAGTGGTGAGTACTGCATGGGCATCACCTAGTCAACATCAACTGTTTTGCTCCAGTGATTCTGAAGCACCGCGCTCCCTGCTAATGTAGCTGTAACATTTAATTTCAGAAGACATTATATCAGGAATTCAGTTCAGTGTGCCATATGCACAGTGTTATCCACAGCGCAGTTCTGAATGAGAGAAAGATGAAAACCAACAGAGTGCCTAATAATTGCATTTTAATAGTTTGATTTAAGCTGTGCAATTTCTGTAGCCGCTACCTCCAAATGCTGTAGGCAGGGAGCTCTGCAGAGGCATCAGAACAAAATGCTGGGGCTGGGGGGCACTTGCCAACATATGAGTATTTGTAACTTTATTTTTTTTTAGGCCAGGTCACTTGAACAACATCTAAAGATCTGCTTGAAGGGAAAATTAACATTTGCTTTACACTATGAATCAATTTTACTCTTTTTTTTACACTTGATATATAGGCCAGACTCTTACTTTGTACAGATGTGTTGACATCAGGGTGAATTTTGACCAGTGACCATTTGATTGCCTTAACACACACCATAAACTGCAGACCATTGCCACTAATGTAGATTCTGTGTATGTTGATAAAATTCAGAATGTAAAAAGGTATTTTTTGTATTTTTTCTAAGAATGTTTGCTGTTAGTTCCTCAATATTAAAATTTCTTTATATTTATTGTCATTAAATAAAGTCTATTTTAAAATAGCAATACATCTGATGTTGATTAGCATTGTTTTTCCATGAACAATACTGCTGCTCCCAAATGCCACATTTAACTTATTACGATATCATCCCTGTCTAATTTCCATATT